TGTTTGCAGATTACATTGTATTGCAGACGAACCCTCCTGGGAAGCTTCTGCACTACACCTGCCACCTTGAACATTGGGCTAACCCCAAGTACAGAATCATGGTTCTGCACAGCTGTAGAGAAGACATCAAGGGGAGCATAGGAGAGGGCAGCATGGCTTGTTTTCTAAACTATGCTTAAATGTGCATATTTTGTTAAATATGAAAACTGAGTTGCTGACATGTGTTCAGATCTGAAGCAAAGAAATTAATACGATCCTTTGCACTGAACTGTGGTGTTTGTTTCAATTTTAGTAAGGGTGTGCTTGTGTTTTGTACATGAAGGATATGTACATGCTGTAAGTTTCAAGGTTCTAACTTGGTGCCAATGTGGCTTTTCAGCATCTCAGTATTGTCTTTTTCCTTCTCTCCTGATGATATTTGGCTTCCATTTCCTTCTACTGCATCTTTCCATGGATTCCAGGAACTCTAGCTACCTTGGCCAAGTGTCCAACATGAGCCTTGATTGTGGGCGACTGTCTGAATAGGCTAACTGACATTTGAGGGGTTTGCACCCAAGTGTCCCTGTCCTCCTTAGATTTGTAGCAATACCTACTGCTACTTCAAAAATGTGTTCATTCTGTCTAGACAGATAGAATCTAGGACCTTCCCATTTTGTAATCCTCACTACTCGTGCTGATTAACTCGTGTTATTCCAGGCTTTTAGATTATTTTTATTTCTGGGTTCTGTGGTTGCATTGCTGCTTCTGTGGAACATAGTAACTTGTAAAAAAAAATCATTTAAATTTAATTACAATATTCACGATTATAAAATGTTAACTTCATAAACTGAACAGCTTATTAAATACAGATGTATGGAACACTGAAGGTTCATATTCCAATCAGTTTTGATTGTGAGAGATCCACTGTCAAATTTATGCTATCTCCAAATATGAGAATTAATAAATACTATTTTTTGTTCAGATTCTTCCTCATTCACTTATACTTCATGTACAAATATAAATCCAGTTGGAAAAACGCAGAGAAAATTACCCTTAATGAAATTTTCAGCCCTACCATGTTAGACACCCAAAAGACACTCTACTGTTGACTACTGCCAGACTACGGCACTACCTCACCCATCACGCTGCTGAAACTGGTCCACGCCTTTATCACCTCAAGGCTGGACTATGGGAATTCTCTCCTTGTCGGCCTTCCCAGCACCTCCCTCCACAAGCTGCAGGTCATTCAGAACTCTGCAGCTCGTGTACTGTCCCGCACCAGGCTTCGGGACCACATCACTCCCACCCTCGCTCGCCTCCACTGGCTCCCCATCCCCCAGAGGATCGAATTCAAGATCCTCACCCTCACCTACAAGGCCATTCACGGCCTTGCTCCCTCCTACCTCTCCGACCTACTATCCCCCTACCTACCTGCCCGTACCCTCCGTTCCTCTGACTCCGGTCTGCTCCACATCCCCCGCCCCAACCGCCCTACTATCGGTGGTCGGGCCTTCAGCCTCTCAGCCCCGAGGCTCTGGAACTCTATCCCCCAGTGCCTTCGCCGCCTCCTCCCTTTCCTCCTTCAAGGCCGGTCTCAAGACCTTTCTCTTTGACCGTGCCTTCAGCTCCCCTCTCGACTCTCTTCCCCCTCCTCGCTCCCTTCCTTCCCTCCCCTCACCCTGACCATTTCCCCCTTGCTCGGGTCCTGACCCAACTGTACAGCGCCTTGGGACGTCCTCCCGACGTGAAAGGCGGTCAATAAATGGAATCTTATTGTTGTTGAAGAGTTATGGCTGTTACCAACATTTTGAATTGTATTTGTTTACTTTTCAGGAATGGTGGGATATTTTTGGTTATCAGGGAATTTGGGTTTTGGTTCCGGACAGAGGTTAACCTTTACCTTCAAGGGGTAGTGTAAAGGGTATTTTTCAGGGATCAAGTGGCCCCAGATTTGTTCTCATTCTCTTTTTAACAGGTGCTATATCAGATGCACAGGGCTTGTCCACATCAGTGATATCAATGCATGGCCTAAATAAGGTGGAGTTCGAAAACTGCCATTTTACACTCAAAAATAATTTTATTTTCTAAAATAGGTAGAATGTTTTGAACAGGAAGTTTCCAGTAACATCACATGAAAGGGAGTTGCATGTTGCGACTTTCTAGCAATTACAACTATTTCAGGAGTATTTTGCCTACAAAATAATCACTATACTGTACTTTGCAAAGAATCCTGTGAAGCTTTTGACACATTATCTTTACGTGAAAGACACTCTTATCAAATGCAAGAATTATTTGCAGTAATTGAGTAAAATTGCAGACTTCTCCCAAAGATTGATAATTTTTCTTCCAGTCATTCCAGAAATTATCCTTCATAAATGTGTGCGGAACAAAAAAAATCTCAAAAGCAACATTTGTGAAATGAAATAAAGCAACAATTTTTGCATTTATGTAAAAGTAGGCAACAATTAGATTCATTATTCTTAACATTAAGTGTTGCAAACTTATCTGCAGAAAATTAATTGTGTGCATCCTTTTGGTTGTGAAAAAAAACAGTGACTTTGATGTTCACTGCATGGTCTTCTAAATACAGCATTATTCAACATTGGCATTACAACTATTTAAGACGCACAAATGAAATTGGATTATTTCTATTTTGCTGTTTCTATGGGGATTTAGGCTTTGAAGAGAATCGTGGCATATTACATGTATTCAGCAACAATTTCTTCCATTTTTCTTATAAGATAGATGTAGCTTAAAATGGGAACAGAAGTGGTTAAACAAAGTTATAATTTCATGTGAAAGTAAGCATCATTTATACATTTAGAGATGTCTGAATGCTACATGTTTGAGATGTCTCGAAGACATGATCAGGCGCTACATCAAATGCAAGTATTATGTAACATGTTAGTAAGTAGTGGTGGAATATTTGAATAGATCATAGACTTTAAAGTTTGTTAAAATATGGTGCAAAGTAGGCAAATAAATTCTGTTACATGGACGCAAGTTGATCTGTAACTAAGGAAAAACTTTTGGTGCCATTAAAAGTACTTGGGTGTGTAGTCTTTTAATTCTCTGTGGGAGGATGGCTTAAAATTCACTGGTGTCTTTAAGGTAATCTCAAATGCAAGTGGGGTGGCCAAAGCATTCAATGGGGTATTGCATGCATATTAGACCATACGAGTAGGGATTTTGTATGCTTTGAAACATGTTGAAGGGTGAATGAGGCTCCAATAGAATGCTTGATGGTCTCGTTATTTTAAGGAGAAATAACAACAACAAGATTTCATTTATAGAGCGCCTTTCACGTCAGAAGGGCGTCCCAAGGCGCTGGACAGTTGGATCAGGACCAGAGCAGGGGGGAAATGATCAGGGTGAGGGGAGGGAAGGGAGGGAGCGAGGAGGGGGTAGAGAGTCGAGAGGGGAGCTGAAGGTACGGTTGAAGAGAAAGGTCTTGAGACCGGCCTTGAAGGAGGAAAGGGAGGAGGCAAAGTGAAGGCACTGGGGAATGGAGTTCCAGAGCCTTGGGGCTGAGAGGCTGAAGGCCCGGCCATCGATGTTAGGGCGGGGGATGTGGAGCAGACCGGAGCCAGAGGAACGGAGGGTACGGGCAGGTTAGTAGGTCGGAGAGGTAGGAGGGAGCAAGGCCATGAATGGCCTTGTAGGTGAGGATGAGGATCTTGAATTCCTTGTATTTGATAAAGTGCTGCATAATGTATAAATATCTCAAAATGCTTGAGGTTTCTGAAGTGTAGTCCCTGTGAATTTGTAGGCAAATGTAATTTCAGCACCTTGAGACATCCTCCCAATCTGAAAGGCATGATATAAATACAATTTGTTGTTGCAAATAACCATGAAGTGAATTGATTAATTGTATATCTGAGGGATTGTTGACTAGGACACAAGAGAAATTCTCTTTGATTGGAAAGTTGGGGATATGCATTTTTTCCTCTTTTGATGGTATGCATATGTGAGCTAGCTTAAATGGTGTGTTGTAGTTTTTTTAAAAAATCTTTACAGCTAATTTAGCAATCTGAGAAATACAATTTAATGTATTTAAATATAACACTATCTCGTGTCGTGCTGGAGTAAATATAGTTCTTTGCCATTGAGACTTTTAATATGTTGAAAAATAAAACGCAGGAAGAGGATGCCTTTTCCAAGGTTAACAGTCATAGTGGATTTTGTTTTGTTGAGCATGGAATAACCTTTTGTTTCTTGACTTGCTAAGATTGGTCAAGAGAAGAATGTTATGTGTCCTGGTTTGTAGACATTCAATCGGTTCTTTGAATTTTTGCCAATCGTGTTCTTTTACTTGTTTCCCCTTCACCAATGCACAAATATATTGCCTAAGTGTAATCTAGTAAATGTTGCAGGATATTTCGCAGGTAGTAATGGTGGGGGTGGCTAGTGAAGGTGATGAGTCATTTCAGCTTATGCTCAAGTTTGGCTTAATTCTGGTCGGAAGGCCAAGGTCCGATAAGTAGTTATGAAGTGAATGACCAATTCTTCTGGAGGATTATTGGTCAGCATACCAGATAAAACTCCCTCTTTTTTATAAATAGTGTCAATGGATCATTAACATCCACTTGAACAAGCAGATTGGACCTCAGTTTAATATCTCATCTGAAAGACCGTGCCTCAACAATGCACTCACTTAGCACTGTGCTGGAATGCTAGTTAGGCTGTGAACTTGAGTCTGAATATGAGGCTTGTGAACCAAATGCAAAAGTGCTTCCAATGAACCAAGTTGACAACAGAATGTAATCTCTTATTTGTAAACTGTCATCACCTATTATTACTTAGTAAAAGGTATCAATTTGGTTGTGGTTCTGTCCCAAGAAGAGTTTCCAAAATCAAAGCATGGTCATGTACAAACATACAGTGAGAGGCAGCTTTGGACTACTTTGATGAGCTTTTCAAATTGATATTTAGGAATATTATACACTTAAGTTTTCTGCCTATTTGCTAAGATGTGTATGTTTTTTAGAATTATATGGTTACAATTCATTTTATTCTTTCAGGCTGTGCAATGGTCTCTGCAAGACAACCTGAGCTTGAGGTGGTGCTTTTATGTACAGATCTAAATTGGTTTTCCATCTTCACTGAGGAGGCAATTCATTCTTCTCTTGCGACAACCACATAGCTGGACAAAATTGCAAAGATCTGTCCTGTGTCGAGTATGACAGCCACGACTCGTGGCTCTCCTGTCGGGGGGAATGACAACCAGGGACAGGCTCCTGATGGACAGTCTCAGCCTCCCCTCCCACAGAATCAGGTAAGCAGCTGACCTTCAGGGCTTTGTGCATAAACCTTCTATGGAATTGCCCTGACATTTTTTCTGATGTATAAGAAAATACTTCAAAAATATTTGATTGGTACAGTAAACCTACTCTTCTAAATGTTGCTTTAAATTTCCGTTAAATATGTAGATATTTACACCTTTGTATACTTCAGTATCTCCTTAGATTTTTTGGTCAGCTGGCAAATTAGACTTGTATCTGTGATGTAGCTTTAAGGCTTTGCTAGTTTGTAGCATGCTCATTACTGTGTCAATATCAGTCGGTTTATTGGGAGCAGAAGGTTTGCATTTTGAGGACAAATGGAATAATGGGGTAAAAGGCCAGTAATCTACACTCAATGGGCAGTCAAAAGCCACAACGCATGGAAATCAAATCTACGGGCATGGCTTTCTGGACTTTGGCATTTGCCGTTGGGGAGGGGGAGAGTGGTTAATGCTTCCCCCACATCTAGGTACAATGTACCACTAAATTGATGCAAATTTCTGGATCTCCAAAATGTGGAAGCTACCCATGTGTTAAAATTTGTGATGGTCACTATTTTGATGAAAACTTACTCCACCATAGTTAAACAACTTATAGAAAAACAAAAACAAACAATACGTTTGTACAGCGCCTTTCACGTCAGGAGGATTTTCCAAGGTGCTGAACAGCATAGAATAATACAGTGTTCACAAGTTTTATTATTGAAAGAGTATTTAGTGTATGGAATATTCGTATTTATCTGTGAACGTTCACTTAGTCCAGGACTCTGTATGGATAGTGAAAAAATATCATTGGTATTGGGAGTTGGAGGCTTGCTCTTTGTGAACATGTTGAAATGTCATATGGTCACATGGTACTGCAGTAACAAAAACAACAAAATTACATTTATAGAGCGCCTTTCACATCGGGAAGATGTCCCAAAGCGCTGAACAGTCAAGTGTCGGGGCCCGAGCATGGCGGGCGTGGGTAGGGGGGAGGGAAGGCAGAGAGGTGGGAGGGAGACCAAAGGCACGGTCGAAGAGAAGGGTCTTAAGACTGGCCTTAAAGGAGGCAAGGGAGGAAGCGAGGTGGAGGGACTATGGGATGGAGTTCCAGAGTGTGGGGGCAGAGAGGCTGAAAGCCCGGCCACCGATGGTCAGGCAGAAGACATGGAGCAGGCCGGAGCCCGCTGAACGGAGGGAGTGGGCAGGTTGGTAGGGAGTCAGCAGGTCAGAGAGGTAGGAGGGGGCAAGGCCATGATGGCCTTAAAGGTGAGGACGAGGATTTTGTACTCGATCCTCAGGGAGATGGGGAGCCAGTGGAGTCGGGCGAGGATGGGAGTGATGGGGTCACAGAGCCTGGTGCGTGAGAGTACACGAGCTGCAGTTTTGGATGATCTGTAGCTTGTGAAGGGAAAAGTTGGGAAGGCTGATGAAGAGGGAGTTCCCGTAATCGAGCCTTGATTTGACGAATGCATGGGTGAGGCAGTGGCGGAGTTTGACAATGCGGAGGTGGTGGCAGGCAGTTCCTGTCATGGCGCGGATGAGGGGGAGAAAGGACAGTTCAGGGTCAAACAAGATACCCAGGTTCCTGAATGGCTTAGTGAGGTTGAGTATGCAGCCGTGGAGGTTGATGCTGCCAGTGCCTGAGGTGTGGAGGCGCTGGCTCGAGCCAATCAGGAAGGCTTCGGTCTTGCTGACTTTGAGTTGGAGAAAGTTGTCCAGGACTTGATGTCGGACAGGCAGTCGGTCAGGACGCCAGTAGTGCTAGAGTTGCGAGTGGAGGCAGAGAGTTAGAGTTGGGTGTCATCCGCATACACATGGAAATTTACCCCATGTCTGCGGATGATGTCACCAGTAATATTGAATATTGATATGCTATCTTTGTACTAAAATTGCTGCACTTTTTTCCCTATTTTAGTAAAGCTGAAATTGTGCACTCATGAAGTTGGCTGCTTTTTTGCTTCATAATTTTGATTGGCAGGCGCCAAAGAGTACTGGGCAAAGTGTGCGTCATGAATATTAATACAGTAAAACTCACATACGTCTTATCTTTATAAATCGTATAATAGCTTAAGTTGTACATGCACCTATTCAGTTACTTATCAAAACAACTTAGATTTCTTTGCACTAGTCGTATTAATCATCACCCAACTCGCAGTGCTGCTCCCTCGTCTCTATTACTCCCGCGCTTACTGGCTGCATTGAATCTCAGGGATTGACGTCCTGATCTGTTGCTGCATGTGTACTTAATGGCCTGGCCGGCTGCATTGAGTTGTCTACATAGTCTTAGTCCGTCGACACATGCACAGAAGAACGTCATTTTATGCAATTCCAATGCTCGCAGATAAATGTGTATGCTTCGTCTGGTTAAGGCACATAGAATCACAGGAAACCGTTTTGATCCATCAGTGCATGGGCATTTATTGGCTGGAGTGACAAACTATCGCATGCGCACTTACTAGTTGCATTGAACTGTGCATTTGCTGTGTAGATTATTGATTTCGTTGGATTTTGTATGACTTATACAAGTTTGCCTACTATTTGGAATTGGGGTAAGTCATATTAAATGTTATAGTCCCAATTGATACAACTTATGTGAGTTTTATTGTATTATGTGTTTCTGAAACCTAACACCTGGGTATTCCTGCAAATATTCTATATTGATGTTTCCCGGGGTCAAGTGTTTCCAAATTGGTTCTCAGGCAGATTTAAGATTTTCTCCCCCCCCCCCCCCTATTAAACTCGGTAGATTTTATCCAGGGTGTAGATAACTGCCCATTCAGGCTTTGGCTTGCAGGGTTGAGGACTTGTGTCTCTTAGCAGTATTAATAATGAGCAACTTGGCTTTGAATAATTTCAGTCCTGGTTATATTCTACTTCCCGTTCTTTTCATTCCCCCCCACCTCCCAACAAACATCCCAGGAAGAACTATTACTTCTGGAGACTACTTTTCAAAGTATTTCTTTTGGATTATTTTGTTTAATGTGCCAATTGATAAATGCGCAAAGTGAAAGAAGTCAACATAAACTTGCTGTGTAGTTAGCGATGTGAAAGATGATCAATGAAACTGCCCGAAACTGAAATTGAGTTAAATCCCCCACCCATTACCCCACAGAGAATGCAACATTTTTAAGTGTGTTTATCTTTTAAATGAACTTCAAGGAATGAAAATCTTTTTTCCAATATGAAGTACATGTCTGCTCTTGATGATCACTGTCTTAGACTTTTCATGTGAATAATGAAATGTTAATGTTGCCATCGTAACACGTTCAAAATCGTTACATTTAGTAAAGGTTCAAAATGTAAATTCTTATTTGTCATATTAATGTAACTGAATCAAAAGTGACTATTCTGCTGATCTGAGGCCAATGACATACTTGATATTTCTTTTATGCTAAACTATATAAAGTAGCAATACTCTGCTCAAAGAAATATATGCATAAAAGACGAAGAACAAATAGAGCATTATTGATCTGGACAAGTATTCACTTTCATCCAAATAAAGTGATATGTAACCTTCAGATCCTCTCTATTCATCCAATGCATTGAGGTAATGCACGTCCATCCAGTGTGTTTCGTATTCACTTCTGAAAAGTCCACAAGAATTGATGAAGACAATGTTGTTGTGGCAGTGATGAACTAAGTGGGAGGCTAGTTTCTGGTTTGGAGGAGAATGAAGTGGTAGGGGTTGGGGGGCGGAATGCTTCTGAATTCCAAATGCAGATAAGAAAGTAAGATTGTGTGTAGTCTTTTCTTGAATGATTATGGACTGAAACACATCTTAAACTGCTTTGATCTCATTCATTTAATATTGCGCTTGAATAAATAAAGTTATTTAAATATAGGAAAATAGTAAGCTCTCAGAATCGGTTGTATGTATTAATTTAAAATTCAATGTGTTTTTGCAACAGACTTCCTCTCCCAACACATCGAGTGAGAATTCACCAGTGAGCCCTCCTGATGAACAAGGTCAGGGTGATGCTCCTCCTCAGCTTGAGGAGGAGGAGCCTGCATTTCCTCACACTGATTTGGCAAAGCTGGATGATATGATAAATAGGTATGTGCATTTGGGGCTGAATATTTAAGAATAGTAGGATTTTTTTTGTTCAGAAGTGCAACATATTTTTTCTTTTGTAACTTTGTTTCAGACCCCGTTGGGTGGTTCCAGTTTTGCCCAAAGGTGAATTAGAAGTTCTTCTAGAAGCTGCTATAGATCTTAGTAAAAAAAGTAAGTTTTTGGAACTATATCTTTGAAAATTACAGGAGTGTGCACTTTAATGTGTTGGTGGGTTGACTATTGCAATCTTTTAATCACATTTCAGTGATTGAGATAAATTAATTGACTTGGATATTGAATACAAGGGTATAATGGAATCTTTTCAAAATTGTTTTTAACCTAGTTATATTGTTATGCCATTTGAAAACAGACTTGCGTTGTCAGATATGTTGTCCTTTGGTTGACAGGCCAGAAATATTATTATGTAAATGTGAATAACGCTGTAAAACAGAATAACGCTGTTCGTCTTTTGAAGGGGACTTTGAGTTCACAATGAACTGTAACACTGCAATGGTAGGGGAGTACCTAACTGAGGGGAAGTCTGCCTCTTTGAATTTCTCCTCGTGACCTGGCCAACAATTCTACAGATTAATTAGTCATTTACTTCATTGACTGTCTGTGGGATGTTGCTGTGCACAAATTTGTTGCCTGCCAATATATTTTGAGCTGCAACAATTAGACATTGTCAAAGTTGTAAGTGCAATGTCAAATGCAAGGATTATTATTTACAAAAACAAATGCACAAATGTTTATTCATATCTGTAAAACAATCAACAAAATATTTGAATGAGATATCAAGAGGATTGGAAAGCTGAAAACTGGTTGGCAGGAAGTTGGAAGGAAAACCTGCAAGTTGATTGTATTCTGTGATAGAGAAAGAAAGTTAATTGGCAGATTGACTTCAATGTAGAAAAATGCAAGGTAATGCATGTTTGACAATAAAAGTACATGAATACAACATGAAGAGATAAGCATTGAAGAAAATGTATTGTTATTAATCATACACTAAAGACTTCCTTTCGATGTTCATCTACTGTTATGTTAACCAATTGAATACTGAATTGCATTTTGAGATCATTTGAAGCAAGTCAAAAGAAGTTGCCAAAACCTGTATAGATCACTCTGGGATGTTTTGGACATTCTGCCTTTAAAATAACATTGGAGAGGGTTAAGAGAAAAGTGATTTTAGATTTGGATATTATTGGATACTCGCAAAGTTGAACTTGTTCGGATTAGAAAAGAAAATATTGACATGAAAATGATCCAGGAGGTTTTAAATTGATAGTTAGTAATAATGTAGGTATAAACTGACACAAAACGGAATCAGTGGGCATTTTTTTAAAGAAGCTGTCCATTTAGAAAAATTCTTAGTGTATTAAGTACTGTATATGCTGAAGATGACTAACAATACCGGTTTGAATGTTTTATCAATTAATTCTGTCAATGATAAGAATGGCACGAGCTTGAAAACAGTCTTAAGAGTATATAATATAAACAGATATTACATGGGACACAATGATTCCCATGCTGATTGGGTGGTCTTGATGGTGAATTAATGGAATGAGGAGGACAGGTTTTATTAGTGGAGAAATAAATGCTTGCATTTGATATGGCGCCTTTCATATCAGAAGAAGTCTTAAAACACTTCACAGGATCTGCTGCAAAGTGTTGTGACTGTGTATATTGTATGCGAACACAGTGGCCAATTTGTGCTCAGCAATGTCTCATGAATAGCCATGAAGTGAATAACCAATTCCACCTGGGGAATGGTTGGCCAGGATAATGGGAGAAATTGCCTTCCCTTTAACGTCTGTGAGAACTTGGTTGAATATCTTCCGATGGACGGCACAGGAAAGGAACAATGCAGCACTCCCACAGCACTGCATTGAAGTGCCAGCCTCACAGTAAGTTCAAAGTCCTGAAGTGGGGTTTGAATCTCCAGCCTTCTGACTCAGAATGCTAGAAACTGACATCTAAAAGTGAGGATCGATGTTTTTTGGGTCCAGGTCACGTTTCTTCCATGTGATGGAATATTGTATTTGCTTTATATGGAAGCAACTTCATGGAGTCCTGACCCTGCTCTAAAAAACAGGTTAGTTGGTTTATTCAGCAGGTCTTTTCCTGACTGCCACAGACTTAGTTGTGTTCAGGAGAGTGAGGGAAGAAATCTAGAATGATTACCATGAAGTTGAAACCATGCATCATTTATTGGTTTGGCTTACTTGGTAGGAATCTCACTTCTGGCTCAGTGGTTGCAATGGATACACACTCCACAACAGGAATTGGATTAATAATCCCAACTGCAGTACTGAGGGAATGCTTCATTGTTGGAGGGGCCAAGCTTGTCTTTTGCACCTCAATTACTACAACATGAAAAGCAGAGATGTTAATGTGATGGTGAAATCTAGAACATTTCCTGGAAAACTGATAGCTGCATTTTAAATATATTTGTTGGCAAAACCTAATATTTTCAAGTATATCGGGCAAGTGATAAGGCAATTTAAAAGATCAGAATTTTTGGAGACCTAATTGAAACGAAATGCTTTTGAGAGCTTAGATGTTCTTTCTTTTAGGAATGTAGGAGCAGGAGGCTATTCAGCCCATCTAGTCTATTTTGTCATTGTCCAGTGAAAACAGAATTCACTGGAGAATTGAATTGTTAGCATTTGCTATGCTTTCAGTGAGAATCTTGGTGGTTTTGTAAATCTTGGTTTAGATGAGCTGTTAGTTTTAAGCTCCCCTTCAGTTTCTGGGTTTCCTTTATCACTGGTTATGAGGGCTTCAGGTACTTTTGTTTACACCACGGGTTTTTAGCAAGCAAATATAACCAAATGCCCTTGAGCTTCGTGTCCAAGACATTAATCGCATGTGCTTCTTAAGGTATTCTTTATTAACCCAAGTCATTATAGAGCAACTCCAATAATGAGATTGACTCTAGGATGACATGTGACTTTATCGCTTAAAACCTTGCTCTCTTGTATCAATTTGAATCAATCTTTTATATTTATACATCTTAATCTGGTCTGCTTCATGTCCCTGATCCCATCATCGACAGGCGGGCCTTCGGCCACTCTGCCCCCACCCTCTGGAACTCCATCCCGCACTCCCTCTGCCTCTCCTCCTTCCTTGCCTCCTTCAAGACACGTCTCAAGACCCTTCTCTTCGACCATGCCTTTGTCACCCTCCTTCCACCCTCCCCGATCCTGACCCTAGGCTTGGTTCTGAAACACTGATTATCCAATGCCTTGGGAAGTCCTCCCGATGTGAAAGGTGCTATACAGATGTGATGTTGTTGTTAATTCAGAGCAAATGTATTATTGTGACTAAATTGCTGGGTGTTGCTGAATTAAGCTTTTGTGCCACATAATAATAATAATTCTTGCATTTGATGTTGTGCCTTACCCAAGCACTCTGAGATGCTATCTATTATTTTTTTTTGGGGGGGAGAGATTATTACCCCCGGAAAAGCAATCCGGCAATCGACTAATAGCCGATTTCTACTTACTGCAAGGTAAACAGGTCTGTGGAGTAAGGAAACTTACACCCTGCCCGAGAATCGAACCCAGGTCCTCTCGCTTTCGATTTGAGTACTCTAACCACTAAGCTACAGGACTCCACAATAATAATAATAGTCCTTGCATTTGATATAGTCCTAACTGAGACATCTCAAAGCGCTTCACATAATAAATTGTCAAGTGTAGTGAGTATATTTTGTAATTGTAATTGCTGGATCAATTGGGTGTAAATGTGTTTTGATTTTAACTTCTCAAATATGTTAAATTGAAAGTGATTCCAGAAAATCAACTGAATATAATTTTCTTTCTGTTTTCAAGGCCTTGATATTAAGAGTGAAGCATGTCAACGCTTTTTCCGTGATGGGCTCACAATTTCCTTTACAAAAATTCTAACAGACGAGGCTGTGAGTGGTTGGAAATTTGAGATCCATGTAAGTATTCTCTTGTGCAACAATAAGTGTTTATGCCTTTGTTTTAAATTTATTTTTGTTTAAAATGCTCTCTGTTCAAAATGAGGAATTCTGCCCTTTTTCTTGTACAAAGGATATTTAGTTCAGTTGACTTCCCAAAAAATGCTCCATGCATTATATACAAAATATATTGCATCTCTTCCTAATTTGACCAACTTCTCCTATGCATTTGACTACAAAATGCAGTACTACACTTTACTACAACAACAACTTGGATTTATACAGCGGCCTCCACGCCAGATGGCGTCTCAGAGCGCTTTACAGTAACGGATCCCGGGGCCGAGACAGGGGGAGGGGGAGGAAAGTGACCAAAAGCGCGGTCGAAAAGAAAGGTCTTCAGCCGAGCCCTGAAAATAGGAAGAGAAGGGGTGAGGCGAAGGGAGAGAGGGAAGGAGTTCCAGAGCCTTGGGGCATAGTGGCTGAAAGCCTGGCTGCCGAAGGTGAAGCGGAGGACTCTGGGGACAAGGAGCAGGCTACTTTATACACTTTACAGTATATCATTTGAAGTGCTTTGAGATCTTCCCACGTGTAAGGTGCTATATCAAATGTAAGGATGATTTTTTTTAATCTAGCTCATATAGTAGCCGCTTTGATCAGTTGATTTTCATTGATCAAGGATCTATATTCTAAAAAAATAATAATTTGGGGAACACTCAACATTATTTACAAACAGAAAAAACAATCAACCTTTTTTTCTTTGAAACTTAGTTTGGGTCAGATGAAATTCTGAATTATGCTGGCCTTAAACACAGTGTAGAAAAGAGAAGCAGTGGAAAGGTGATCTGTATTGTTGAAATGATCTGAAGCTTGTCTATGCTGTAATGAATGCAAGAAACTGATTGTTGCGTGACTTAATTATAATTGTAATACAACAGAAAACTGTAAAATTTCATACCTTTTTCTTTTTTAGCGATGTATTATAAACAATACTCATCGCCTCATAGAACTGTGTGTGGCCAAGCTATCCCAGGACTGGTTTCCCCTTCTTGAACTCCTTGCTATGGCCTTAAATCCTCACTGCAAGTTTCATATCTACAATGGTACACGTCCCTCTGAGACTGTTCCTGCTGGAGTCCAGCTGGCTGAGGATGAACTCTTTGCACGTCCTCCTGACCCACGCTCACCCAAGGTTTGGAGAATTTACCTTTTGCATCTGAATGCCAACATTTAAGTAAACAAGGTTGGCTGTCTTAGCACAGAATACTTCAAGTCCAAGTATAATACTGGCCTTTCACAGATAATTTGGCTAGATGGATGGTTTTCATCTGAATACCAACTTGGTGGTGGTCAGTGCTGAAAATTTACAAATCATGATGTTCATGGCTGTTCATGGCACATTGTTGTTGTGCATTAATTGACTGCTGCGTTCACCTGCAAAATACATGGTCACTGCATTGTACAGTAAATCCTGTGAAACACTTTGAAACCTTGCGATGGCATGATAAGGTGCAATAAGCAAATATAAGGATTATTATTAAATGCAGAAGATAAACCATTAGCTGTTTCAATTTTAATTTCTACAGGGCTGGCTTGTGGATCTTATCAACAAATTCGGGACATTAAATGGTTTTCAGATTCTACATGATCGATATGTCAGTGGTTCAGCATTGAATGTTCAGATAATTGCAGCTCTCATCAAGTAAGTACATATAGACATATATATATATATTTAAACATGTTATTGCTTCGAGCTATGTAAGCTGTTGAGGGATAGGGAAGAGAGAGTACTTTATTGTTTTATTGTACGTCAGATGATGCAACATGTTGTTGCTTTTTAGGATATTTAAGCAAGTAACCAAGCTCAAAAGATCTAAACGGGGCTAAATCAACAGAAGCCTGAACTAATCAAAGTGACGATGCTTGTGTTGAGAAATTCTTTTCAAGTTCAGCTTTGAATATTCCAATGTCCTGCTCATTGGACTCCCCAACTTCTCCCTAGCTGCAGACCATCCAGAACTCTGCAGTCCATGTCCTCTGCACTTCTTATCCCCCATAGATCAAATTGAAGATCCTCGTCCTTGCATTCATATTTTCCATGGCCTCACCTCAAGCTATCTCTGCAAACTGCCTACAATCTTATGGACCTGGCCGCTCCCTCTGCTCAGCGAATACTGGCCTATTTAATGTCCCACGCCTGATCCACCCGATTGCACAGAGAATATCTGAGTATGTAATTGTGTATGGAGAGGAGGACTGCATTCAAAGAATAAAGACAACTTGACTACTAATATATCATTGTTGGACTTTTATAATGATGAATCCTGTGAATTTAGGAAGATTGGTTCCTGTAATTTAATGCATTTTTTCAGTTTTTGTCGGGGTTAGCAGTTTCTTAAGAACAGTTTATTAAAATCATGAATGTTAATGAAGATTTTTTTCTATATATTCCTTCTAGACCATTTGGACAGTGTTACGAATTCCTTACCCTACATACGGTGAAGAAATATTTCCTTCCAATAATAGAAATGGTTCCCCAGTTTCTTGAAAATCTAACAGATGAGGAGCTGAAAAAGGAAGCAAAGAATGAAGCCAAAAATGATGCTTTATCCATGATAATCAAATCATTGAAAAACTTAGCTTCTCGGGTTCCTGGACAGGAGGAAACTGTCAAAAATTTAGAAATATTTAGATTAAAAATGATACTGAGGTAAATATAGGTTTTATTTTGTCTTTATTAAAATTTCTTGTAGTTCCTTGTACTTACTTCAATTTGTTGTTTTTAGGTTATTACAAATCTCATCTTTTAACGGAAAAATGAATGCACTAAATGAAGTTAACAAGGTGATTTCCAGTGTCTCTTATTATACACATCGCCATGGCAGTCCTGAAGAAGAAGAATGGTTGACAGCAGAGAGAATGGCAGTGAGTAATTCACTTGGGTTTTATGTGTGTGATTTTTATGATAAATTTGGGATACAATATTATGTACTGTTTACAAGTGGATTTTTATGGATTTTGTGCTGAAAATGAGAATTCTTATCTTCTCTATTGGTCTTAAGCACTCCTGGATAACTACTTAGATGCAACTTGATATTTCTCAACAAGTGTTCAAATCTTAGAACATGCAATTCATTAGCTGGAGGATAAGATTTAAGCTAATTTGAAAAAAGCAAATGTTTGGATGTTACATTGGCTATTAGAGCATCTCACACTATTAAAGTGTAACTGTGTTCCATAACGTTTTCTGTTATAGGAGTGGATCCAACAGAATAATATCTTGTCAATTGTACTGCGTGACAGTCTGCATCAACCACAATATGTGGAAAAACTAGAGAAGATACTTCGCTTTGTTATTAAAGAAAAAGCACTCACCCTCCAGGATCTCGACAACATTTGGGCAGCGCAGGTGAGGAAAAAAAATTCTAATTTTGAACTTTGTTGATCGATAAATATAACTGCGTTTTACACAGGTGGTCTTATTTAACAAAGTAACTGTTTCACAGTGATCTGCACTTGATCAGCTGATTGAATTTAATGAATGTAAATCATGTACTGTATGAAAAAGCTGGATAGATGCAATTAATGGTACAATTAATATTTTCAAAAAGAGAATTTCATTATGCAACAGTTATTTTGAATAGATTTCGTAAGATTAATTTTTTCCTACTATTGAGTTGAACTGTTTTTCATTTTTATTTTCTCAAATTAGGACAGGTATGATATTCCTGTAACCTCATTTCAAAGTTTCAGATTTAACCTGATTTAATAAGAGCTTGCTAATCAGAAACTAAGTTATATTTGGAACACAAGCATTACGGGAACCGTGTATCTGTCCCATTCACACATCACCATAAACCCTAAAAGCTGTCTTGTCTTTTACCTTAAACAGCAGAGATTGTAGCTATGTGTACTTGTGCTTATGAACACATGCTAATTGAGCAGTTTTATTTCAGGCCTACATATCACTTTCATGGAAAAAGGTGTTTTTCTGATTCTGAAAGGTTCTTTTAAGTCAAAGGGATGGTTTGTTGCTAATATTGCATATGAAATGAACCAGATTACAATTGTATTTTGCAGTGTACCTTTAAGGAGTATTTGCTGTGGGGACACTGTTCCTTTTCTAGCTGATTTTAATTGTATGTATGGTGCTGAAGTTAAAAATTAATTGTTAAAGGATTGATTTTTATTATGCCGTGTACAATTTAGATAGAGCAACCCCATTTTAATGTGCCTCATCGAAATGCAACTCTTGTATATCTGCCTAAATTTTGTCTACCATCTATGCCCAATCTGCAAAGATATCTGACCTTCTGAAGTTTTTTTTTAACTACTCCAAATTTATGGGTCTGCAAATGTTGATGTTATACCCCCTAAACTGAAGTTTTTAAAAAAAAAAGAATATTGGTCCTAATGCTGGCGCTTATGGTGGTTTACCTTCATTCATTTTGCAAAACATCTATTTATCCTTTTTTCTATTCTTTAGCCACATTTCTTTATTCATTTTGATACCTTATGAAATCATTCATGTATTTAGCTGAAGAAAATGAATTTTATGGGAAATAGCTTTTTCAGTTCCGTTGAGATGAATGTGAGAAGATGTAGATGATGATGTGTTCATTTGTTGTATTTGTTATGAACTAGGTCAATGTTCTATTCTGTAGCTAAGTTTGATGAGATTCAAACATATCTGTTACTAATTAATATGTTAGTTAGCTGTAGTGAAAGTGCAGACAACCTGTCACCCAGAAGGTTGGTTCTTATTGTCTGTTATCCCCTCAAGCAACTTTCACGCAATGCAAGTGAATACAACTATTTTACCAGAAATAGATTTGTTTAATTAAGCTTTCAGTTCCTTTAAAAAGGAGAAAGCTGTAAATGAACATTTGTTGATTGCAGGTTCATATTCTGCAATGGAGTTGTAAATTTGTTAGTTGATTGGTGGATCACTTTCTGGGGATGGTAATCCCTTCAAAAAATAATAATAATTTGGTCACTCAATCCACGACTGTTTGTGGAATACTGCTGTGCGCAATTGGCTGCCGTGTTTCGCCCACAAAATATAGTCAGTTCACTTTAAAGTATATTTTGTGAAGTGGTTTGAGACGTCTCAACAACATGATAAAGCGTTTTATCAAAATGTATTAATAATGCATGTATTAATTATTATAATGTACACATGTATGTTAAAGAGTTTCTTTAAATGATACACAGGAATTCCTTTTTTTGTTTTAAAATACAGGCTGGTAAACATGAGGCAATTGTGAAGAATGTCCATGATCTTCTTGCAAAATTGGCTTGGGATTTTTCTCCTGAACAACTAGACCACCTCTTTGATTGCTTTAAGGTAGCTTTGAAGTTTTAAAAAAAATTAATTGATGAATTCAATTATTTAAATTCTGTTCATTATTTAAAATGTTTTCATTCAAGGCAAGTTGGACAAATGCAAGTAAAAAGCAACGTGAAAAGTTGTTGGAACTCATCCGTCGCCTTGCTGAAGATGACAAAGACGGTGTGATGGCACATAAAGTGTTAAACCTCCTGTGGAATTTAGCACACAGTGATGACGTGCCTGTTGATATTATGGATCAGGCTCTTAGTGCACACATCAAAATCCTGGATTACAGCTGTTCACAGGTAAACAAGGCATTGGGCTGCTGGAGGAGATTCTCAAGGGATTGCTTATTCCTGTTGTGCTGAATAATCTAAATCAGTTTTGCTTTAATAGAAAGCTAATTTCTGATTGCTGTTTCTATTTGCTTCAAAAGCAAGCTATCTTTTGATAAGAGCAGACAATGCTCAGTTTAGATGATATAGGTTGATGTTATCTTTTTCTTGAATCATGGGTAAATGAATGGAAATGATTGACATCTGATGATTTAGTTTCAATTCATTTGAACATTACACTAATAATTCTGTAAACATTGTTAGGATCGCGACACACAAAAGATACAGTGGATAGATCGTTTTGTGGAGGAGTTGCGTACTAATGACAAGTGGGTAATTCCCGCACTGAAACAGATTAGAGAAATCTGCAGTTTATTTGGAGAAGCACCGCAGAATTTGAGGTAAGATTGAATCATTTCTAATATACATCAGGAATTGAGATGTGCTTAATCTGATTTTAGCAGGAAGACTTCCTTAGATTCGAACATTAATTAGAGTCCAGTATATGGAAAATGCAATGTAGTTTGATTTGGAGCTTTTGGGAATTGTATGTGCGAAAAATCCAGTTGAGGAAAAGACAAATTCGGTTATGATGTTCTCCCTATCAGCACCAAACTAACGTCACCATTGAGCATAGGTGTTCAAAATTGTTTAAATAGCGTGTTCCACATGTTGTAATCTGAGCACAGCTATACACTTTATTTTTGATTATAGGCCAATTTCAAATATTCACGGGTGATGTTAAGAAGGTTCCATTCTACTTTGTAAGCAAACCACTTAAATTCAGCATTAAAGGGATTCAGTTGCCAACCAGTTGAGATGTGCTGTAAATTATTGTTTGATGCCATAACGGGGATATATATGCAGACTGTTAACATTGCTGCTGTTTTACTATATTGGCAAAGATAATACTTGGAGAATATTCTATGGTTTGAGTTGAAAGAAAAATGCAATTTGTTTCTCAAATTTCCTTTGTGGGATTTGAATTAAAAATCTGCATTTTAACACTTTCAGGCTGGGAATTATAGTTGGAACCTCTTAATAAATTAGAACCTTTTTCGGCACAAAAAAAACTATTTCTATTGCATAGAAGGTTTCGAAACTTGTCTTGAAACCAAACATCAATGTAAGCCTGCCAGCGAGTTATAGTTCTTTGGATAGCAAACAAAGCTAAGTCACAATGATGAAATTGATTTATGGGACAGTTTTAAGACCGATTTGTGCAACACTCCAGATGTAGTTGTCCTGTGAGCCATCAGTCTCTGTGCCACTTGGATTATTTTAATATTACTGATTTGATACTTATTGCAAGCATTTTACTGGTGTTTCATTTTTATCCAATCATAATTGGATGGATCACAACACAATATAAATTTATATTTATATTGTGCCTTTCACTTTGAGAGGAAGCTGAATATGCTGGACAGGCTTAAGATTTGCACCCGAGCTGCGGGTGGGAGCCAAGGAGTTGAGGGAGGCAGAAAGTGTGGTCAAAGAGGAAAGCCTTAAGGTGGACCTTGAAGGAAGGATAGGGCGAGTCGAAGGGACTCCAGGATGGAGTTCCAGAAGGTGGGGGCAGATGTGCTGAATGCCTGACTGTCAATGGTGGAGCAGTGGGTGTGAAGCAGGCAGGTACTGGATATTTTTAAAGTTTTTCTGGAACAATATATTTTTGCAAATAAAAATATTTTGCAAATTAAAAATAAGGTCCACACCTTCAAACTTGTCTCCCACTCCTCTCTCACCACCACTATAACCCACATGAAACTGACCACCTGCTCCCTCGACCTCATCCTTACCCCACTCCTTAGCTCCCATCTCACCCTCCTTGCCCCTCTACTCACAGACATTATAAACCTCTCCCTGTCCGTTAGTACTGTTCCCATCACATTAACAACGGCCGTCATCACTCCTATCCTTAAAAAAAACCCTCTCGGGACGCATCACTGCTCTCAAACTACTGCCCCATCTCCAATCTACCTTTCCTCTCCCAAGGTCCTGGAACGAGTTGTTGCTTCCCAGCTTTGCTTCTTCCTCTCCAACCACTCCCTTCACGAACCCCTCCAATCGGGTTTCTGTGCTGTCCACAGCACAAAAACAGGCCTGGTCAAAGTGACAAATGACATTCTGTCCATTTGCGACCAGGGCTCCCCCTGCCTCCTCGTCCTCCTTAATCTCTCTGCTGCTTTCGACACCGTTGACCATTCTATCCTCATCTACCGCTTCTCATCTCAACCTTCACAGCTCTGTCCTTGACTGGTTCAGATCTTACCTCTCGCACCGCTTCTACTTCATTTCCACAAACAGTTACTCCGCTAGCCCTTGTAACGTCTCGTGTGGCGTTCTTCAGGGCTCTGTCCTCTTCAATAGCTATATGCTCTCTCTTGGTGACATCATCCGCAGACATGGGGTCAACTTCCACATGTATTCTGATGACACCCAACTGTACCTCTCTGCCTCCACCCTTGACTCTAGGACCACTGTTGTCTTGACAGAATTTCAATCAGACATCAAGTCCTGGATGAGAGCTAACTTTCTTCAGTTGAACGTTAACAAGACCGAGGCTCTCCTGATTGGCTCCCGTCAACGTCTCCACACCTCAGGCGCTGACAGCATCAACATCCATGGATGCTCATTCCACCTTACGAAGCCAGTCTGGAACCTTGGTGTCAACTACCTTTCTAACCCACATCCTTGCCATGACCCACTCTGCCTTCCTCCCCACCTCCGCAACATCGCCTGGCTCTGCCACTATCTCACACCACAGACTGCCAAAATCCTCGTGGAGTCCTGTAGCTTAGTGGTTAGAGCACTCGCTTTGCAAGTGAGAGACCCGAGTTCAATTCCAGGCAGGGCGAAACTTTGGGCAAGTTTCCTTACTCCACATGCCTAATAATAATCCCTCCAAAACAAAAACAATAATAAATTGGTCATTTTCAATCCATGACTGTTTGTGGGACATTGCTGTGCGCAATTGGCTGCCGCGTTCGCCCACAAATATACAGTCAATTCACTTTACAGTATATTCTGTGAAGCGCTTTGGGACGTCTAGAAGACGTGAAAGGCGCTATATCAAATGCAAGGATTATTATATATGCATTCATTACATCGGGGCTTGATTATTCGAACTCCTTGCTTGTCAGCCTCCCCAACTCCTCCCTCCATAGGCTGTAGATCATGCAGAACTCTGCAGCCCATGTCCTCTCCCACACTGGGCTCTGTGACCCTATCATCCCCATCCTCACCCGACTCCACTGGCTTCCCATCACACAAAGGATACAGTTCAAGATCCTGGTCCTCACCTTCAAAGCTCTCCATGGTCTTTCTCCCCCCTACCCCTGCAACCTCTTAAGCCCCTACCATCCTGCCCACTCCCTCCGCTCAGCGGACTTCGACCTGCTTCACATCCCCCACCTCGCCCGCCCCACCGTTGGCGGGTGGGCCTTCTGCCACTCTGCCCCCACCCTCTGGAACTCCATCCCGCAGTCCCTCCTTCAAGACCCATCTCAAGACCCTCCTCTTCGATCGTGCTTTCGATGACTCTCCTTCCCCTCCCTACCCTCCACCCTCCCCCATTCTAACCTCCAGCTCAGGTCCGGAATTCTGTCTGTCCAGTGCCTTGGGACGTCATCCCGACGTGAAAGGCACTATGCAAATGTAATTTTGTTGTTGTATTGAAAAATCTATTTAAACTACAGGCTTATATTGAATCTCAAGTTCCGATGTTTTATTGACAGTATGTTGCAAAAAGGTCTATTTAGCATTGGTAAAAGGTTTTGAATATACATGTTAGATTTGAATGCATTTTTTTTCCCATATTATACAAGTAGTATTTCTAGTTTAGTTCCAAGTATTTATCTGAAGCTTTTACATGAATATGAGGATTCTGAAATGTTCTTACCCACCTTCATCCATGGTATGAATATTAGAAGCAACATCATTGGTCATGTTTATTTTACTGGTTTAAGTCTTGAGATTTATATCTGGAGTGTTGAAATTAAATAACATTGTTCCCTTTTTTAATAGTCAGACGCAACGAAGTCCTCATGTGTTCTATCGTCACGACTTGATTAACCAGCTTCAGCATAATCATTCGCTGGTCACTTTGGTAGCTGAAAACCTCTCAGCATACATGGAGAATATACGGCAGTTTCACAAAGGTAAAATATGTACAGAATCTGTATTGCGTATAATGGCTCATTATGTGAAATGCAGTGTAGAGCACTAAGCAATACCTTGCATCAGGAGTTATGTTGGCACTTCTAAAATGGGGAATTAAGTTATTCCTATTCCATCTTGCCACAAATACTCCATCTTGATATTTCAATAGTTTAATATTGCATTTATACCAAACGAAAAGAACACCTATCTGGAAGGTGAGCAGGTCATAACGTTGATCACGAAACAGAAAATGCTACAACATTAAATTAATGAGTTGGGTTAAAGTTCGTATCATTTGTTCTTTCTAATTTATAATACGCATTTGTACATCTTGCAGAGAACCCAGAATATGATCCACAGACGGTGCAGCCAAGTAGTCGATACAGCCATGTACAAGAAGTTCAAGAACGACTTAATTTCTTGAGGTGAGGACATGGATTTTCATAATGTTTGTGCTAAATAAATCTGCTTTACAGTTAGAAAGTAAATAGCTTCTAGGATTTCGTGCTGATATGGAAAAGACCTATTAAAACACTGTAGTTCGGGTTCATAAAATCGTAAGCAGCGTCTTATGGGGCTCAATTGTTCCTGCACATTGATTCAACGCACCTCGCTGTTTTTTTCCATGCAAATAAAGTTGGCCAAAGGTTTGAAGCAAGTGACACAATTTGAGATGAGACAACTGACTTCCTGCACGCATTTTTAATTTTTTGGTAAATGTTGGGGTCCATCTCCCTATCATGCTATAAGTGAACCGAAGTTATAATAGGGTCTACTGTACATGGTGATTGATTGCAGTCCTTTAATTTGAGCACAACTTCCATCTGGAAAGGTGAGTTGGAATTCACTTTGCAATGTATTCTGTAAAGTGCTTTGAGATGTCTCAATGACGTGATAAGGCGCTATATCAAATGCAAGGATTATTATACTATTATTGGTATTCAGTTCTGCTTTCGCACCAATTCATCTTTTTTATTAGAGGATGTCTGTTTTCTTTTTGAATTATTGCTCCTGCCCTGTGAGGTGGCACTAGTGGCAGTTGAAATATTTAACAAGTTTGAGAAGTCACAGCATCGGTCTGCAGTGCAAAGCTGCACACAGCATAAATTGATTATTTCAAGGCTATAAGAATGGCTGAAATGGGATCATTTCCACTGTTACATTATTGAATTCTCTTATGAGATTGGAATTACAGCAGCCTGCTTAGACAGAGTGGAGGGAGCTTCATTCTGCTTTGGCTGTACTTGTGCTGGCAGGCAATTGATAATTAATGAAAACTTTCATTTCCTAGAACCGACCCATCAATATTTTTTTGATCAGAAAACCTTTGCCATGCTTGATAGCCAAACCAGACTGAGAGTTCCAAGGAGCAAAGAAATAAACCCGACAATTGGAAGCCATCCATTGATTCAAGGATTAATTTAGCATTTAATTACCTTTGTGAATATTTACAAAATATTAAGGAATTGGCTAATTCCGGGTTTTTAAAATGGTGTTTGATGGATTGTTTTGCATAGCAAATTATAGCAATTATTTTCTGAATTTTCTAGATTTCATTAGTATAAATCTTACTGGTAAGCACAGAGTACCAACGACACTGCTTTAATTGGTCATTTTCAATCCACGACTGTTTGTGGGACACTGCTGTCGCAGTTGGTTACCGCATTTCGCCCACAAATATACGGTCAATTCACTTTATAGCATATTCTATGAAGCGCTTTGAGACATCTAGAAGACGTGAAAAGCACTATATCAGATGCAAGGATTATTATTATTAAATTTGCAGGATCTCCAGTTTCTGAGATTTAAATTACTATGCAAAGTAAATTTCTTTCACTTATTAAAAGTACTTTGCAATAAATGGTAATTATTTGTTTTTTGTTGTCAGATTTTTATTGAAGGATGGCCAACTGTGGTTGTGTGCTCCTCAAGCCAAGCAGATCTGGAAGTGTTTGGCGGAAAACGCAGTCTATCTTTGTGATCGTGAAGCTTGTTTCAAGTGGTTTTCCAAGTTGATGGGAGATGAACCTGATTTGGACCCAGACATAAATAAGGACTTCTTTGAAAATAATGTTCTGCAACTGGATCCTTCCCTCCTAACAGAAAATGGAATGAAGTGCTTTGAGCGATTTTTCAAGGCTGTAAACTGTCGAGAAGGAAAGCTTGTAGCCAAGCGACGTGCTTATATGATGGATGACCTCGAATTGATAGGACTGGAGTATCTGTGGAGGGTAAGAACAAAAATTATTATTTTTTAGCTACGAATTTTTAATGGTGATATACTTTAATTTTTTTTACAGTTTACAAGAATTTGTTGCCAAAGAAAACACATTTTGACTTTTGAGATACAGAAAAGATGTCGTTTTTTGTGCTTATATCAGAATTCCTTAGAATATTTGTGGAGTCCTATAGCTAAGTGGTTAGAACACTCGCCTCTCATGCGAGAGACTTGGGTTTGATTCCCAGCAGGGCGAAACCTTGGGCAAGTTTCCTTACTCCACACGCCTAATAGTAATCCCTCAAGAAAAAAACAAAAATAAATTGGTCACTTCAATCCCCGACTGTTTGTGGGACACTGCTGTGTGCAATTGGCTGCCGCGTTTCGCCCACAAATATACAGTCAATTCACTTTACAGTATATTCTGTGAAGCACTTTGAGAAGTCAAAGTGAAAAATGCTATGTAATAATAATATCAAATGCAAGGATCATTATTATAATATTACAGCATGGAAATGGGCCATTCGGCCCAACTAATCTGATGATGTTTGTAAACCATATAAACTCCACCACTCCTAATCCCCTCTCCTATACCACTGAAATATGTTGATACTTTATGCGTGAATGACAGTTCCTGACTATTATTTCCACATTTCCACTATCCTCTGTGTAAAGAAATTCCTTCTAAATCCTTTTTAAAACTGCTACTGGCTATTTTATTTATTCAATCCCTCAAAAATAAATTTGGTTACTGACTGTTTGTGGAACATTTCGCCCGCAAAATATATAGTCAATTCATTTTACAATGTATTCTGTGAAGAGCCTTGAAAAGTCTCAACAACATGATTAGGTGTTATATCAAATACAAGGATTATTATTATTTATTATTTTAGATCACAATTTTAAAAACAAAAAGTCAACTTTTAATCGTGCATTAAACCAGTGTATTATACTGTGCAAGCCTTTTGAAAAAAGCGGTGTGAATTATTGAGCTAAGTCATAGACTCTTAGGAGAAGATTGTAAAATTCCTAAGATTGCTACAGTTATTGAGATGAGATTTTGTTCCCTTTTGTTTTCCCACCTGAATATGTGCCCCATATGTACAGATCATAACATTGATCAAGTAGAATAGCATGCATGTTGAGGAGCCATGAACAGACGTTTAGAGCAGAACTTCTCTCCCAGTGGAACAGACTCCCTAGTGAATAACTGAAGTTCGTGGAAAATCAAGGTTCTACTGACAAAATAGTAGTGCATTTGTGAGACTGCAAAGATCATTGCAGAGGATTTTCTATTCTGATGTTGCGTTGTCAGACATGTCTCCTCAGCTTCAGGGAAAACCCACCTACCCCCTCTTCCTTTTGCCGCCTGACCACCAACTCCCCCATTATCCTACATAAAAAATGCTATATAATTGGAAGTTGTTATATAAATGCATGATTCTGCATATTGGCCTTAAAAGTATTTCATGGTTGTATGACATAAGTGCATGAATATTTTATATAACTTAAATAGGTACACTTATAAATTGAGATTTAATGTGCATAAATAGAAATGCAAGTAAATATTGACCTCACACCATATTTAAATTCTGATTAGGCTGAGTCAGGTGTAGGATCTTAAAAAATAGTTGTAATTGTAATGATTTGATTATAGAATCGGTGCTGGCACTAAAGTGGTATAATTGCTGTTTTTGTTATTGTATGTATGGTATAAAAATCAATTGATCAATTTTAAAAGCATGCTTTTAAAATTATGTTGTCTTAATTGCAGTCCATTCTGTTAAAGCAGCTACCTTTATTCAGCAACCACCTACTGTCAACTGGCTTGGATCAGTATCAACCAATTTTCTATAATAAGCCCCTAGATTCAGCAAATACCTGTCTAATGCAACCAGTGACCACTTGTTTTATAGCTCTGTCAGTGTACAGACACTCTTTTCAGCAGCCAGTTCTAAATTAATTTATTGTCAATTTCTGCTGGTCTGGATGTAGACTCCAGCTAGACACCTAGTGCATTTACCAACGGCCACACTAGGCCCACAGCTTCCAACCTCAATGGTGAGTTGGTGTTGGTAAACGTGCTAGGAGTCTAGTGGGAGTCTACATGTAGAACTTTTTGGCTCGCAGAAATTTTCAGACCTGCCTGGTTAACGAAGCTTTACATAAAGGCACTTTGGTTCAGGCCTCTGCTGAAAACAGGTCGACCGTATTTATAATGCCACGTTTAGAATTTAGCTGGTCAGCTGCTAAGTAAATTAGAATTGGGGCAATACTTGCTAACTATTCTACTGTGGTGTGCCTTTCTTCAGCAACAGTTTTGAATATTTTAGATCCAATCTTTCCTGCTATTTTTTTTTGCCACTGAATTTCATTTTCTGGTTTGAGGATACACGGAATAGATGTTTTATCTCCATATAAGGACACCCTAATTTTTTTAAATTCTTACTGATTTACTGACATAAATCTTCATCTTTATTTCCTATTTTGGATGAAGTCATTATGCTTAATTAGTTCATTCTGCATAAAGGATTTTCTGGATAATGGGTACCCGTGCACAACTTTGATCCTCAGATCTGCTTCCTTCCTTGCATATGATATCTGATCAAGACAGTTTTTCTTCATCTTCACCACATTGCCCACCAACACACCGCTACCTCACACCAAACCATCCTTCCTTTCCATTGACTGTCACTCGGGGTCAGACCCCATTCTTAATCCTAAATAAAGGGTGCTTACATGATCTGCGATATGTTGACCTTTCATAGATCTCTCATCTTTGGCGATGATTCTGTTCTCTTATTTTGTGAACGGAATCAATATCAATTGTCACAGGGATCTATATTTGGCTACATGCGCAAGTTTATCTGCCTTGTTCCATAATTTGTGGAAAATCTTGAGAGAGTATCTGGGTAGTTTCCTCCTTGATGATAGCTGAATGAGCTTTATAGTTTTAATCATTAAATGAGAACTGCTTTTGGGCTCTTTTTTTACCCTCTCTGCCCCGTGGTCCCTATCATCTCTGTAAATTGCTTCGAAAGGTTTATCTTGTAAGATGCTATTACAAGTGCACAGTGTTGTTTCTGTATATTTCAGTTGCAGGGATCATTATTTAATATGCTGCAATTTGATCTGAGCACTCAGTACTAGGAAGATACTACTGAAGACGATTCGAGTGCAAGGAAGTCACAATTGAGTTACAGTTGTAGTTTCATCTCATAAGTATTTCCAGTCATAAGCTGAGCCAATAGAAAAATGTGGAAATATTTGCCAAAATTTGCGGAGAGTTGATTGGTGTTGTTGAGGTACATTTTACTGGCAACCTACATTTTTTCCCTTTAGTGATTAAAAACTAAACATGAGGAAATGATGCATATTATATGGCTGCAACAAAAAACTGGGTGGCCCATGAAGTGGGGGGAGCACGAGCGCAGGCCTGGAGATCATCCAAAAAACAGACACTCAGGACCAGAGACACAGACACAGAGAGAGAGAGAGCTGTTTATGGTAGATTATGCAGAACAGTTGCAGCCAGACTTTTATATTGGCCCAGGTTATAAGACACATCACAGCTATGTGTTTGCAACTTTGTTGCTCATGAATTAGTTGTGTAAAATACGATTCTAAAGTTCGGCTTTTACTTGAAACAACAGAATTTGTTAAAATAGTTGGTGTCCTTATTTGTTTCCTGTTCTTAACAGGTCGTAATTCAAGGAAGTGATGACATTGCCAGTCGAGCTATCGACCTGTTAAAAGAAATATACACCAATCTTGGACCAAGGTTGCAGGTTAATCAGGTACATGTGATGAACTGGAGATCTTATGATTATGATATAAGATAACTTACGATCTTTGAAAATGCAGTTTGAATCTTATCTGTACTGGGACCACCTTGTATTAATAAACTGTATTTAAATGATTTGGATTCACAACTCTGCAAGCTAAATTTGCAGTTGACATCACGTTGACGGGTGGGAGGGAAATTGCAATCGGGAAATCACCAAGATCTTACAAAGAGAATTTGACTGGGTATGTACCTGGGCTGATTATTGTCAAATCAAGTGCAAAACAACCGCAACATTTGTAAAGCACCTTTCACATCGAGAGGACGTCCCAAGGTGCTGGACAGTCAGGGATTTGGACCTGAGCAGGGGGTTGGAATTGGGGGGTGGAGGGCAGGGAGGGTATGGGTAGGAGGGTGGCCGAATGCATGGTCGCAGAGGAGACGTTCTTTGAAGGAGGCAAGGGAGAGAGCGAGGCGAAGGGACTGGAGGATGGAGTTCCAAAGGATGTGGGCAGAGAAGCTGAAGGCCCAATCGCCGATGGTGGGACAGGCCGGGCAGGGGACAACGTGGAATAGGCCGGAGGATTTGCTGTGAGGAGGGAGCAGACAGGTTGATATGAAGAATTGTATTTGGACATTACAGTTGATAAACATGGTCTAGATGGTCGCCCTCCCACCTCTGCCTTCCCTCACCCCTAAACCACCCCTCCCCCATGCTCGGGCCCCGACACCCGGCGCTTTGGGACGTCCTCCTAACATGAAAGGCGCTCTATAAATATAATGTTGTTGCACTTAATCAAAGTTTTACATTCAGGGGAGGGTCATTAAAATTTGGGATGCACTTGTGTCTTGATGTGATCCGGAGATTTTGCTACACATGTAAAATCACAGTTCCAAACACTGGAATTGGTTGTATTTTGCTGCTGATGTATTTATACATTTTGTTAAAGTATGATAAAAAAATGTTAGCGATAGAAGAAAAATGGGAACAAAAATTGTTCCAGCAAACGGGATTAATTTTCATCTCGTTTCCAGTGTTCAATGCCCCAAATATTTACTTTTATGTAGGTAGAGATTCATGAAGACTTCATTCAGTCATGTTTTGATCGACTGAAGGCCTCGTATGACACATTGTGTGTACTTGATGGTGACAAAGACAGTATTAATTGTGCAAGACAAGAAGCAATACGGATGGTGCGTGTATTGACTGTGTTGCGGGAGTACATCAATGAGTGTGACAGCGACTACCATGAGGAGCGAACTATTCTACCCATGTCTAGGTATGCACAAATAAACAATAACTTGCCTTTATATAACTTCAAGTAGGAGCACATACTAAAATACAAGTACTTATGTAGTACTAAGATCTATAGTTTGTATAAAGTACTATGTAGTTGATTCCACTTCAATAGCATTGTATTCTTTCAGTTAAATCTGGATTAAGGCATTAATAAAAAAAAGTTTCAGTAATATTATAAAGAGCAATTTACTTGCTCTGCACCACTTTAGTAATGCCATATTTTGAAAATCTGCAGCATGTCCTTATCGTATTTTTGAATAATTGTAATATTACTGGGGTTTTAAAGGATCCCGTTTTTCCATGGTTTTGATTTCAAAATTATTGCAAGTTTCACGGTGAAAAAGCAAGGATTTTTTTTTTGTCTGCAGAGCATTTCGTGGAAAACATGTCTCACTTGTAGTACGTTTTCCGAATCAAGGACGTCAGGTTGAGGATTTGGATATTTGGTCACACACAAATGATACCATTGGCTCAGTCAGGCGTTGTATCCTCAATCGAATAAAAGCCAACAGCGCGCACACAAAAATAGAATTGTTTATTGGTGGTGAACTTGTAGACCCTGCTGATGATCGAAAATTAATTGGACAGTTGAATCTGAAAGATAAAACAGTAAGTATTGTGGTAAGAAAATAATGTTTGTTTATGCTTTCTTTGCAGCTGCATTATGTGTTTCATTGCAGTGCTGACTTATTTACAACGTGAATGGTGCATGGATTTCATTCTATGTTCATGCATTTGGATAATTAGGTTCCTGTGCTCCGGCAGGTTTCTGTGCTAAAAATGGCCGATTTCTGAGTCATTGGGTGGCACTGATGTCATTTTCTGATGTCAAGAAGTGATGGCATTGGAACCATGATGACACCTCAGCTGGCCGTTTCTGAATCCCTTGCACTCGAAGCTGCCAACATCCAAGTCATTGGGTTGAATTGGACAATAGTGATATTGGTCCACTTTAGGGAGATTTTTTAGCATCAGGCAAACTTTTAGAAGTTAAATGATGACAGAAAATTCATCTTTGGAACCATTTCAGATCATAAGTTAACTTTCTTCAGAATTGATTTCTGCATAAGAATGCAGTTGTTTCATATAGAGGACTACTGTTGAAATTCTACGCTTTTAAATTCAGAGCAAAAACTTCTATTGCAAAATAATGGTGATTGTCTCTTGCACATTAGTTTTTGGTAGTTGACATATACGAAGTGTACTCTAATTCAGATCTTATTGGAGTGATCAAACACTAGAGTAGAGTTTGAAGGGGAACTAAAGTACAGTTCTGCCCTTTTTATTAAATAATATTTATCAGTATTTCTTCCTCAAGTCTCCTGCGTTTACATGGCTTTCATGTTGAATTGCAAGTAAGTTTAGATAGTTATTTGGGGAGGACAAGTTTGCAGGGTTATGGGGAGAGAGCGGGGGAGTGACATTGATTTGGATAACTCTTTTCAAAGAGCTAGCATAGACTCGATGGGCCGAATGGCCACCTTCTGTACTGTATAATTGTATGATTCTATGAAGCTACATTCCTTATAGAAAGCCCAAACTTTCAATTATGTCAATTTAATTTGGTTTTCCACTGAATGTTAAATCTTCTGTAAGTTTACATACTTGTTCTTTACAGGAAAGATTGTTGAAATTCAGGGTCGCCTAAATAGATTGTCTAAACTTTATGACTAGATAAAACTAAGAAAATTGCTGACTGATTTGGAGGAAACGCCCAGATAATGGGGTCTTTGAATAGTAATAAAGTTACTTGGGGTCCAGACTTAAAAAGTTATTTTTAAATTCTGTATTTCACTGTACTTTTAGTAAACGTGCTTAGACAAGGTACTAGAGGTCAAAGGTCATCTCGCTGATCAAGTTATAGTAGACTTTCTTTGGTGGCAAGGCAAGATTTACATCTTATGGCGCAAAGGCTCTGAATGGATGAATTTTTTTATCTGCAGTGCTGAAACAGTGACCTAATTTATTGGCTGAATCCCCATTGCCTCTTTGCAAAGCATACTTGTTATTAATTTACATTTTTCTGCTCATACATGTAGTTTTACTGGGCAATATTTGGAAAGCTGAATTGTGAGTGGTCTGTTGGGGGCAGACTAGAATTTGGCTAGTTTACCTGCTCAAATTGTTTCCCAATGGGTTGGGCTTGGCTGTTGGCAATTTTTCATCTTGGATTTGGAGATGGGCGTTCTGCCAGCTTGTTTTTCTTTCTTTCAGAAGGTAAAAAGGTGAGAGGGGCTTACGTTCTTCTTGAGGTCCAAACCTGTCCTGGGGAGAAAGTATGTGTTTTCTCCATTCTGGTTTGTTAAGTTACAGAATCTTTTAGAGATTATAACTGTTTTTCTTTTTATTTCAGCTTATTACAGCCAAGCTAACACAGATAAGCTCCAATATGCCTTCAAGCCCTGATAGTTCTTCTGATTCCTCAACTGGCTCCCCTGGAAACCATGGTAACCACTACAGCGATGGCCCTAATCCAGAAGTAGAAGGCTGTTTGCCTGGAGTGGTAAGAATCTCGTAATGTTTTAAATACTGATAATGTGAAATTTTTGAAACGTAGAACACGCTGTTTTAAAAAAAAGCTGTCGGTTGTGAAGGATAACAGTCTTATCACTTTAGTTGTTCTTAATAAATTGCAAAACCAAATTGTTTTTTTAAATGGGGAAAATCGTCAGGAATATCTCTTTAAGAACTTAATTTGCAGTAGCCTCAAACTATGTGATCTCTTCCTTCATTTCTAAGGAATCTTGTTCCATGAGTTCCTCTGTCATTGAAAGCATCATTTCATTGTTTCGTTATGAAACACAACTAACTTTTTAAAAAAAAAGTTGGCCATTTTTTTGATAGGTACAACTTGTTTTCCCATTCGTGTCCTGCTGGTCACTGAACATCATCTTCTATATAATCTCCACGTCCAGAACATTTATTCTCACCTGAGCTGTTTCAAAGCTTGACTTTGACATATGCCTACACAGAGCTTCAAACTAAATCCTGTCATGAGGCCTTTCCAACTGCTGGTGGTCACAATCTGTGGCTTCATTGTGTTTCCACCAGGCATAACTTGGAAGAGTATGAAAATTGTCTTAACCTCTCCCAAGTGGGCATGGCAAAAAACAGTGAGGTGCTAAGAGGATTAACTTTGAAGACAGGATGGCTCTGTTTGATTCACTTCTGATGCATAGAGGCTGTGCGCCTGTGGATACCTGGAAGCAAATATAAAATTCACAGGCACTCCAGGTCAGTGAGGGATTTGTCTATTGGGATCATAGTTGGTCTGGACTTAATTAGCACAAGCATCTATGAAGACAGATTTTGTTCCATTTAATTTGATCAGGACAAGATCATCAGACACATCTCAGAATCAACCACCTCTTGTTGGTTTCCTAGGCTTTGTTTTGAATGTTGGGGGACATGATCAGCTGCAGAGAGGCAACTCTAATCAGGATGGGTTTCTCAGAAAAATTGATCTGATTTAAAAACTTAAATTTGAAGTGTGGCTCAAACTGACAATCAGATTTCTCATTACCTTATGTTCCATTAACCCGAGTTAAACAAATATTATCAAACTCTTTACATAAGGGACGGATTTTCATTGATGACGGGCAATTGTGCATTTGGAGCAGCTCTTGTGTTCCTACCACAAATGCAAAAGTTTAAGGACCGGCAACTCCAATGTGACCCTGATCAAAATTTTGCAGAAGATTTGACAGTGCTCGAAAAGATGTAAAGGGCCATCATCAAGCCAGCATGATGTTGGTCACCATGACTTTAGACTGCATTGTGTTCAGAGCCAAGAAATTGGTTTCTTCTGCAGCATTACAAATATGATTACAGTACTGCATTATTGGGTTGACGCAAACTTAATGGAACATTGTGCTTTCCAGCTAACAAATAGGCCTGAGTTTTTCTTGTGGATACCGACTCAGATGAGTTTTCCATACATCTTCCTCATTTGTTTGCTTCACAGGAAGTTTAACTTTCTTGTTCCTTATCTTTATTGAGCTAGTTAGGTTGCTGGACTTCTGGCACCCGTCTTTATTGAACCAATTGAATTTATTGGTTCTATTTCAAAAGTATGCATATTACTCCGTCCTCAAAAGAGGGCGAAAGCTGGCACTGAGACAAATGTGTGATATTGCTAGGGTAGATGTTTAGCTGCTGTATTTGCTTTTGTGAGTCATTAATGGAATGTTTTGAAATGGCTTCATGTGTTAATTACTTCAATTGCAGGCAAGTTTTTTTTTCTGTGTTATGTAGGATTATCTAGTTTGCATTGTACACCTTGTAGCTCAATTTCAGAACCGCTAATAGTTTACCTCTCCGACCTACTATCCCTCTACTTACCTGCCCGTACCCTCCGTTCCTTTGGCTCCGGTCTGCTCCACACCCCGCCCTATCCGCCCTACCATCAGAGGCCGGGCCTTCAGCCTCTCAGCCCCTAGGCTCTGGAACTCCATCCCCCAGTGCCTTCGCCTTGCTTCCTTCCTTTCCTCCTTCAAGGTCGGTCTCAAGAACCTTTCTCTTTGACCGTGCCTTCACCTCCCCTCTCGACTCTCTACCCCCTCCTCGCTCCCTCCCTTCCCTCCCCTCACCCTGACCATTTCCCCCTGCTCGGGTCCTGACTCAACTGTCCAGCGCCTTGGGACGTCCTCCCGACGTGAAAGGTGCTCTATAAATGCAATCTTGTTGTTGTTTTTCTATGGTGGAACCTGGTTTAATGATAAGCTTCCCAGGCTAGTCAATGTTTCTCTTCCAAAGCAACAGGTTTAATTGTGGGCCATGGATTCAATGTGAATGTTCAGCTTTGGTAAATACGGTACATTGCAGATAAAATATAATTGATATAATTAGCTTGATCTAATCCCAGAGATTATTCTCAGATTGACCCTTCATCTATCATCATAATTCCAGATTTGAGGGGTCAATTTGAGAATAATATCTTTCTTCTTGTTGCACTCAACTTGTCAAACCTTGTGAAACATCTTGGATGGTTGCCTTAATGCAAAGCAGTCAAATGTTCAGGTGGTGCTAAATAAGTGACTTCCGTTATTTGCATAGTTGGTCAGTGCTAGGCTGAAGCAGATTTTAACTCCAGGTGGTGAATAGGACAGTTTAATGAGCAATTGGTGACTGTCAAAAACATTATTTATGAGCCATTCTTCGTTTTGGCAGTTGGGATCTGTAATAGAAGATTTGCACAATTGGGACAAATGTTTAAATTTTGTTGATAATATTTAATTGGGAGGTGAAAAATCAATCCTCAGCAGACAGCCAATGTTAATCAATTGCCCAGAGGACTATAGAGGTATTCAATTTGAAATTTTACTAATTGGTGATTGCTAATTCATTTTTGAGATGCAGGGCAAATCACCCAACATTCGTGCCAAAAATAACTTGCCAGGGATGGATATAGCTTATTCACTTCAGTTGAGATATTAAACCAAGGTCTCGGCTATTTGTTCAGGCGACGTTAAAGATCCCATAGCACTATTGTGCGGCATTGCTGTGTGCAAATTGGCTGCAGTATTTGTCTACAAATTACACAGTTGCTACACTTTAGAGTATATACTGTGAAGTGCTTTGAGACTTCCTCCTGATGTGAAAGGTGCTATATCAAATGCAAGAATTATTTATGCTTAGTATTACTGGAAGACATTTATGTTGCAGCAGCTATAGGTTAGCATGTGACTAAGACTTCTGAAGCACCTCTACCTTCCTCACCTACTTGTGGAGTTCTGTTGCTCAGTGGTTAGAGCACATACCTCGCAAGCAAGAAAAACTGGGTTTGATTCCTGGCAGGCTGAAACGTTCGGCGAGTTTCCTTACTGCGCATACCTAGCAGTCAGTAGGAACCTGGTTGTTAGTCTATTGACAGATCACTTTTCCGGGGGTAACAATCCATTCAAAAAAAATTGTCACTTAATCCATGACTGTTTGTGGGGCACTGCTGTGTGCATTTGGCTTCCACATTTCGCCCAGAAAATATACAGTCAATTCACTTTACAGCATATTCTGTGAAGTGCTTTGAGATGTCTCGAAGACGTGATTAGGCACTAAAACAAATGCAAGGATTATTATTACTTGGTGTCTATTGCTCCCAATGAAGTGCTCGGGGAGCTCTGAATTGTCGGAAGTACAGTCCTTAGGAAATGCTAATCGATAATGCTATCCATTAAAGGATCCTTCTTATCCTCTGATGGGTGAACCATTAAATTGAAATCTGGTCCCCATGTTCCGGTAGACATTAAAAATCCCATGGCACTGTTTGAAAAGGACATATCTGGCCAATAATCCTCTGTATAAATTGATCGTTCAGTACATGGCTGTTTCTGGGATGTTGCGTTCAAACTGGCTGCCATGATTGCCTACAATACAGTGGCTCCAGTTCACAGAAACTTTGAGATGTTACAATATAATAAGCATCATATCAAATGCAGAGATGATTTATTGTTTAGTGCTTTGGGACTAAGTGAATAAGTGCTTGGAATATAATTTTTTTGTGATTCGATTGTTATTTTTTTGGGGACATAATTATGATTTTGGCTCAGGTGAACTCTAAATCTTTGTGGTAAGGTCAGGATTTTGGGGCATAACCTGACATTTCTATTCAAGGTTTAGAGTTTAATTGTGAATTGTAAACTTTCATCTGACACCATGTTTTTCTGAGGTGGATTTCAAGTTCCAATAAGTTGATTTGATGGATCTATTTACCCTTTTAATATTGAGAAAATCAAAGATGTTTTAGATTCTAAAGGTTTTTGCTTTTTAGTAAAATGTGTAAATATTATCTTTACATTACTTTTAAACAACCACATGATTTACTTTGCTAACAGTTAGTGAGCAGAGGTAAGGTAAGGTTCAATGAACACTAAGGTAGGTCAAAATTAAGTCTCGACAGTTTTATGAATCGGGAAGCTGAATTTGGTTGACTCCCAATACTGCCCACATTAAGTGCTTGCTTTAAGGAGCATTTTTTTTGCAAAGAATGATAGAAAATAGTTAAATTCTTTAAATTTAGCCTATCCACATACCAACCTTTGCCATCTCTCCAACCTTGATTTTAAGTGTATAAGTGTAAAATAGAATTCCTTCTTTAATGTTGATTACTGTTCAGCATTAATGTAAAGTATGGCTCAGCTTTGTTTGATGCTGTCTCAGTTAACAAGATCTGAGGGTGATTCATGCAATTCTCTGCAATAAGTGTAGAGATTTTATAATATGGAATGCTTATTTAAGTGATTTTCTTTCTGCTTTCTCCCCCCTCCCCTCATCCCCACTGTATCATGTCAGTTTGTTGAAGATAAATTCTACTTTTTTTAAAAAAAAAGTAAATCTAAAATGTCAGAAACTTAAGATGTTCAGCAAAAGGAAACAAAATACGTGTAGTGGTTATTCAGTTTATAACTTAATATGAAATATTTGCAATGCTCTGAGCAGGTAACTTAGAATCTCTCCAATACAATTTTCCCTGTTGCTATTTATGTTAGAATAGTATCTATCTAAAGGAAAACTTTTACAGTGTATGATGTGGTTGTATGCTTTCCATTTTTATAAAAGATATTTTCAGCACATTAACCACAAATAGAATACATTTTAACTTGCTTAAAAATACAGTTCCACTGCTAAGCATTTTAAACCTTATGATTGTGGAGAATTCCAGTTTACCATTTACTCAGGAGATACCATAAGCTACTTTTCAGTTGGTGCATATTTTCCTCAACACAATCTTCTGTTTATCCCATTGAATGAAAGTACAATAACTAGCATCCGATAGCTTCTTAATGATTCCTTAATGAGAAACTCCTCAATGTCCTCCATTTCCCCCATGACCCCATCCTATCTCTGTGACCTTCCAACCCTCATAGTATTTGCTGCACAGCATCCATGCTTTGCCCAGCAAACACTGACTTGATTCATGTCACTTGATTAATTCCTGTAGCTCAGTGGTTAGAGCACTCACCTCGCAACTGAGAGACCTGGGTTTGATTCCTGGGCAGGGTGAAACGTTGGGCAAGTTTCCTTACTCCACTCGCCTCTGTTTACCTAGCAGTAAGTAGGAACCCAGTTGTTAGTCGATTGGCAGATTGATTTTCCATGGGTAATAAATCCTTCCAAAAATGTTATAATTTGGGCACTCAATCCATGACTGTTTGTGGGACATTGCTGTGTGCAATTTGCTGCCACGTTTCTCCCACAAAATATACAGTCTACTACACTTTGCAGTATATTCTTTGAAGTGCTTTGAAGATGTGATAAAACGCTATATCAAATGCAAGGATTATTATTATTCCGGTCTTTCTCAGTTTCTTGACCAAACTGCAGAATATGACTCCCAATACTAAAAACGTTTTATTAACTTGAGCTTTGGTGACCTACAATGAATATATGCAGTCCTTCAGACTTCTAACTTTCTGTAGCCTTCTTACAGCAATTTTAAATTGCCTGTTAACTGATGTATCTAACCACCTTAAAAGCTTATTTGGGCTTCTAGGTGTCATTGGACTGAAATTAAGTTGATTGGACTGATTTACACTGTGCAATATCTGATGCCATGTGAAGTTTGGTATTAAATACTCCTTTGCAAAAATGTCAGACTTCAATATAATATGACTTCAACATTGGGTCTTCAGTTATTTAACCTTTACCATTGTACTTTTTCACCTGATCGAATTTTATGCTGAACTTTATCACTGTAACTATATTGCAGTATATGTGGAGTATTTGACTATTTTGTATTCAACAAATGCAGTAGTCTGAGCTGGAATATGCACAACAGAAGTTTTGACAGTATTGAGTTTGTAAATAAGCAGTCATAATTTACTAACTCATTTAATTCTTATAAATGTGTTGCTTTTCTTGTATACGCAGTATTTGATGCATCATTCCATCAGTTAGTGCTGGTATGGTGTGTATTTCATTATATTGTAGTTTAGATGACTTAACCTAGTCTTTCTTTTTTTCTTAGATAATGTCCTTGCACCCTAGATACATTTCCTTCCTTTGGCAAGTTGCAGATCTGGGCAGCAGCCTAAACATGCCACAGTTGAGAGATGGTGCTCGTATCCTTATGAAACTTATGCCTCCTGGTAAGATGCTTTATGTGATGACTTAAAATCCTTCCTTTTACTGAAAATATTTTGTGTGTTCCTAGAACATATTTTAGAAGGCAGTCTTCAATTATAATTGTCTAAACACAGATTCAGATGGACTATATCTGCAATGATGTATAACTGGGTAGATAATTCCATTGGTAATTGGTTGGGAGGCAGGAAACAGAGAGTAGGATAAAGACAACGTTCTCTGATTGGTGGGACATGACAAATGGTGTCCCCCAGAGGTCTGTACTGGACCCCAGCTATTTGATATATATATAAATTACTTGGATGAAGGAATCGAAAGTTTTATATCCAAGTTTGCAGACAACACTAAACTAGGAGGTTCAGTAATTTGTGTAGATGGGAATAGGAAGTTACAAAGGGATTTAGACAGATTAAGTGAGTGGGCAAAGCTGTGGCAGATGGAGTTCAATGTAGGGAAGTGTGAGGTCATCCACTATAGACTGAAAAAAGATAAAGCAGAATATTTTCTTCATGGGGAGAAATTAAGAACTGGAGGAGCAAAGAGATTTGGGTGTCCATATCCACAAATCACTAAAAACTAGTTCCCGGGTGCAAAAAGTGATCAAAAAGGCAAATGGAATGTTGGTCTTTATCTCAAAAGGCCTGGAATACAGAGGGGAAGAAATGATGCTTCAGCTGTACAGAGTTAGTCAAACCCCATCTGGAGTACTGCATTCAGTTTGGGGCACTGCACCTCAGGGAAGATGTAATGGCCCTGGAGGGTGTGCAGCGCAGGTTCACCAGAATGTTACCAGGCCTAAAAGGGTTAAGTTACAAGGAAAGGCTGAATAAACTTGGATTGTATTCCCTTGAGTTTACAAGGTTGAGGGGTGATTTGATTGAGGATTTAAGATGATAAAGGGATTTGATAGGGTACATACAGAGAAGCTATTTCCTCTGGTGGGGAAATCCAAAACAAGGGGACATAGCCTTAAATTAGAACCAGGACATTTAAGAGTGAAATCAGAAGCATTTTTTCACTCAAAGAGTGGTAGAAATCTGGAATTCTCTCCACCAAAAGGCTGTGGATGTTGGATCCATCCACACCTTCAAGATTGAGGTTGATAGATTTTTGGTAGGTCAGGTTAAATAAGAGAAATGGGGAGAAAGCAGGAAATTGGCATTGAAAGGTTTAGTTGAGGTACAGATCAGCCATGATCTATTAAATGTTGAAACAGGCTTGAAAGGCTGAATGGCCTATTCCTATGTTCCATTGTGTAATTTGTGAGGTATCTACCTATATAAAACCCAACTGTGGTAGATAATGAAACCTGCTCTGATTTGTCACTTATAGTTGCTAACTGAGTAACTCTTTGTGCAGTCAGGGATAAAATGTAGGTTTATAAGAATCCAGTTTTTATTCAAAACCATACTGTGGTTTATGAATTTCTACCCTTAATTTATAACTTCTTTCTTCCATCTCCCAAAATCTATTTTGCAAGTTGAACTATTTTCAAAGTTATTTGATTGATTGCAAATTCAACCTGTCAGGTTGGTTTTGAGTCAATCGAAAACTGAAGATTCACAGGACTGCTTTATGGAAGCAGCTTTGTCAACCCCCAAATGTATGCAGAAATTTTAAGTTGAGACCATGAATTTTAACATGGACAAAGAGAGAATTCCGATGTAAATGTGCTTTAACTGCTCTGAATGTTTAATAAGAATTCAGCCATTTACTCCGTAACTGTCTGTCCAATGCCTTGGGATGTCCTCCCGACGTGAAAGGCGCTAGCTATACAAATGTGACTTTGTTGTTGTTTTAGTTCTATAATGTGGTTTTATGTCAAATTAAAGGAAAATTTAAACCTTGTAAGTTTTATCAATGTCGAGCAGCTATCCATAGTGTTTCCATGTGTAGGATTTCATAGAATTAGACAGCACAGAAGGAGGCCATCCGGCCCATCATGTCTGTGAAAAAAGTTATCCAAATCAATCCCACTCCCCCTGCTCTCTCCCCATAGCCCTGCAAACATATCCTCCTCAAATAATTATCTACTTCTCTCTTAAAAGTTATCGAATCAGCTTCCACCTCCCTTTCAGGCAATGCATTCTAGATCTGAACAACTTGCTGTGTGAAAAAATGTCTCCTCACCTCCCCTCTTTTAACAACTATTTTAAATTGGTGTCCTTGGGTTACTGACCCACCTGCCAGTGGAAATGGTTTCTCCTTGTTCACCCTATCGAATCCCCTCATAATTTTGAACACTTCTATTAAATCTCCTCTTAACCTTCTCTGCTCCAAGGAGAGTAATCCTAGCTACTCTAGCCTTTCCTCATAACTGACGTCATTTGATTGGTTGTAATCTGTGATTTCCTTTGCAATCACAAGACGTTTCTGCGGCATTCTCCATATATTTGCCATAGCACTGACATTTGAGTGGATGCTTTTAATTGATTCTTGGAAACATTATTTTAAAGCTGTTCTCTTATTCTTACCCTTTGTACCCAATAATCAATACGTTTCAGGTTGTAATTTATATTATGGCTTCTTCGCAGATAACACTACAGTAGAAAAACTGCGTGCTATCTGCTTAGATCACGCGAAGCTTGGTGAAAGCAGCCTCAGTCCAACTCTTGATTCCCTCTTTTTTGGACCATCTGCCTCACAAGTGCTGTATCTAACTGAGGTGTGTAATCCAGTTTTCTGTTTGTGGATCTCTTTGAATGCAAAAATACTTTATTTTTTAAATTAATTTATTTTATGTGAAATGTTAGTAACACCAATATGGAGAATCTACAACTTCCTCCTTTAAGGTTTTTGTTCCACGTCATGAGATCTCAACTTATTTTTATTAATATTTTTAAAAATACAAATTGACGATGTGATAATAGCTATATCAAATGCAAGGATTATATTATTATGAGCTATGAATAGCAAATGACTGCTTCTGAGCCATTCTATTTCTCATTACGATTGACCACAACTATTTCTTCAATGTGATTATTTCAAAGATTGTACAAATATTTTTAGTTTGTGGCTTTATTGCAATGTCACAGTGCAATCATTTCCCATTCCTATCTTGAAAAGGAAATGTTTAACATTAAAATATTACTGAACGATATTCAAAAGCACTTTTTAAGCATCACTTCTGAATGAAAAACAATCTGACTCAAGTCTCAAATTGGATTTTTGCAAAAACACTACTTATCAAATATTTATAAAACAAGCCCAAAATATTATTTTAACAAATTTTCTGAAATAGTTTATGTATGATGTATTTTGCCTCTAATGTGTTTTTTTTCCTTTTGTGCAGGTAGTATATGCCTTGTTAATGCCTGCCAGTGCACCTCTGGGGGAAGACGCAAGTGATTTTCAGTACAATTTTTTAAAAAGTGGTGGTGTGTCCCTCGTGCTGGGAATGCTCACCAGGAATAATTTCCTCCTAAATGCGGATGTGGAGACTCGCAGGGCTGCCTATCTTAATGCACTAAAAATAGCCAAAGTATTACTCACGGCAGTTGGATATGGCCATGTCAGAGCTGTAGCCGAAGCCTTTCAGCCAGTTGTGGAGGGTTCAAGCACTGTTTCACCGGTGTGTATTTTTCCTCATACTCACTTTTATAATCAACGTGTAATCTTTTATATTAATGCAGCTTTGATCAATGTTTTTTTTCTTTGAACAGATAAATCATGCTACTCATAGCCAGGCTGTAGTTCTGCAGAATGCTCTGCACAACATTCCCAATCCCACTTCAGAATGTATGTTGCGAAATGTAGCTATTCGCCTTGCACAGCAAATATCAGATGAGGTTAGTGTGCCTTTTGTCTTTCAAGAAATTGTGTATTATATTTGTAATAAATATATGCGTTTGGACCTTGGTGTGCTCTTTACCCAGGAAATTTAAAAGCATATGGCATGAATTCTATCTCATGTATAGCAAAACAAACTTTAGCAAAACATTCCGTGTTATTTTCAATTTGTATATGTTTAACAGATCTAGATTCTTGTCACTACAACCGTTTAATACAGTATGGTTGATTGGTAAACATGAGTTAATACCTTGTCTGAATTTCCACCTTTGTTTAAGTCAGCAGCAAGTGTTTGCATTTATGTAGTCTTTCATGTAAAATAAATGTTGGGAAGTACTTTATGAATGTTTGCGTAGAATGTAGTAAATATTGTTCTGAACTGTCATCTTAATGCATTCAGTAGCACTGTCCTGATTTGGGATTCAAGGTCTACATTGGGACAAGTAATTCATAATCCAGAGCAGTACTGAGGAGTGCTGCATAGTTAGAAGTGCCATTGCGTGTTAAAATTGTGCTAATCAGCCCATTTTGCAAATTGCTTCCCAAATTACATTCATATTTATGCTATTCTGTAAAGAAAATACCACAAGTTCAAGAGTATATGCTGAACGGTTTTGATTTTGTGATTTGGTTGACTTTCTCTTAGGCCTCAAAATATATCCCAGACATCTGTGTTATCCGAGCAGTTCAAAAAATTGTCTGGGCCTCGGGTTGCGGTTCGATACAGCTTGTATTCAGTTCAAGTGAAGATATCAGCAAGATTTATGAAAAGGTAAGTTTGTTAAACTGTGTTCTTACTGGTCAGAAATTACACATTTGAAATGCTTATAAAGATTTAATATAGTGCTGCGTATAGCTTGTGTATAATTTGTGAAGGGAGTTTTCCCCCCGATGTTTCTGAGCTATTGCTCATTTTTGTAGTTTTACTGTTTGCACCCCATACCTGAGAAACTCAAGTAGACGGTCAGAAAATGTTTGAACAGTGTTGCCTTCCTAGTTTTGTAGTTGCTAGGAAGAATATTTAAATAGAATTTCAGATGTGTTTTTTTCATTATGTTTGAAGACTAATGCAGGGAAGGAGCCAGATTCAGAAGATGAACATGTTTGCTGTGAAGCACTGGAAGTCATGACGCTTTGTTTTGCACTGGTTCCAACAGCGCTGGATACACTTAGTAAAGAAAAGGCATGGCAAACCTTCATCATTGATTTGCTACTGCACTGCCACAGCAAGTAAGTGTTAGTACCTTTTACAACAACACATTGAGGATTTAGGCATTAGTTTAATTTATAATAACCCTTGCATTTGGAAAGTGCCTTATACATTGATAGGAGGTCTCAAAGGTTTCACAGGATATACTGCAGAATGGAGCAACTACTTTGTGGATAAACAGTGTGAACCTAGAGATTCAAATTTGTTTTGTGAAATGGCCCAGAGCTTAACCATATGTTTGTCCTTGGAAGCAGTCAACCATGAACATTGTAGAGTTTTATCAAAGTTGAATCTAACTACCCCCCAAAAAAATTCACTGCTAGTTGAAAATGAAATTACTGATTCACACCCATCAGCGAGTTATCTTTGACTCTTGACATCAAAACATGTTGTTTAAAACAGTAGCAAAGTGACTTGTAGGTTTAAATTCATCAGTGATGATGTTACTCCATTTACAGCAGGCTTTTCCGATACATTGGAATCCAGCTGTGGCATAATTGCATTTTTGATTAGTAAATAAAAAATGAAACGCATTCATTGGGCATGTGATCCCAACTCTCATATTCGAATGGAGTTTGCATGTATGCTTTGACTTTTTTGTGTGTTTGTTGGTAAAATGTTTTTTGGATCGTTATGTGTGCTTTACTACCTTGGTTACTGCTTATTGGTTACCTGCAAAAATGGTGTATACAAGGGTGAAAATGCCAGATTTCAGTACCATGGAAACACCAGCAATATTGTATGGATTGTCAGTTGTGGTCAGCTTGACCAATTGAAATAATAATAATAATAATAATAATCCTTGCATTTGTTATAGCGCTTTTCACGTCGGGAGGACGTCCCAAAGCGCTTCACAGAATATACTGTAAAGTGAATTGACTGTATATTTGTGGGCGAACGCGGCAGCCAATTGCGCACAGCAATGTCCCACAAACAGTCGTAGATTGAAAATGACCAATTTATTATTGTTTTTGGTTTTGGAGGGATTATTATTAGGCGTGTGGAGCAAGGAAACTTGCCCAATAACCGCTCTAGGCAAGCAGAAGAAGGCAAGCCCAGCCAATAACAAGTAGCTTCAACAAGGCACGTTATGGCAAAGGGCAAGCAGCATCCAACCACGTTCTAGAAGGAGAGCAGAGATGAGTCTGGCACATCTCGCAAAAGGGAAAAAGGGAAGACCCAAACTTACAAACTTTGAACAAGAAAGACTGTGAAGTTTGCACTGAATGGTTGTAGATATTTGTTTAGCAGATTTTTAAGTAAATGTACACGTAAACGTACATGCAAAGTATATTTACCTGTTTTATATATAGGGTATTTTCTACTAAACTTAATGCATGTGCCAAAAACTGTCACCATAGCCACAACTGTGGCTTGTCAGCAGTTTCTATCGTACAACATTTTGAAGATTCAAATTGTAAAAAGTTTCCTGTTTTTCAAATCATAGAGCTGTAAGGCAAATGGCCCAGGAGCAGTTCTTCCTGATGGCTACCAGATGCTGCATGGGACATCGACCTCTCCTTTTCTTCATTACTCTGCTCTTCACTGTATTGGCAGTAAGAACATTTTCTTACATTTCTAATAACACTGTTTTATATTATCTATAAAGGAAATAACTGAACAATAATGAGTTATTAAAGTAAAAAAATCTACTGCATCATAAAAGATCAAATTCAGGATACAATCAGTTTTATTTGAGTGCTCTTGACTTTCCTTGTGAATTTTATGTAACAGGTTTGTGCTATTAACTGCAATGTAGCTGAGTTGCATGTTTGTTTTCCTGTTACCAGAGCACAGCAAGAGAGAGAGCAAAACATTCAGCAGACTACTTCACGTTATTGAGACATTTGCTTAATTACGCCTATAATAGCAACATCAACTTACCGAATGCAGAAGTTCTGCTCAACAATGAAATTGATTGGCTGAAGAGGATTCGGGTGAGTTGAATCCAGTAGTTTAACTTGAAATGGATGGAGAGAATTTGTACATTGTGTGTGTAATCGTTCATTTAAGCGTAAGACTTTCAACTGCATCTAAAAATCATTTATTTCTTTTACCTGTATATTAACGTGTAATGGATCATGGAGTCCTGTAGCGTAGTGGTAAGCGTGCTCGTCTTGCAAGTGATACGACCCTGGTTCAATTCCCGGGTAAGGCAAAACCTTAGGCAAGTTTCCTTACTCCAAATGCCTCTGGAACTCCATCCCCCAGTGCCTTCGCCTTGCTTCCTCCCTCTCCTCCTTCAAGGCCGGTCTCAAAACCTTTCTCTTTGACCGAGCCTTCAGCTCCCCTCTCGACTCTCTTCCCCCTCCTCGCTCCCTCCCTTCCCTCCCCTCACCCTGACCATTTCCCCCCTCCTCGCTCCCTCCTTCCCTCCCCTCACCCTGACCATTTCCCCCTGCTCGGGTCTTAACCCAACTGTGCAGCGCCTTGGGACGTCCTCCTGACGTGAAAGGCGCTTTATAAATGGAATCGTTGTTGTTGTTTACCGTGGAATAATTAGGAACCCGGTTGTTAGTCGATTGGCGGATCAGTTTCCAGGGGTAATAATCTCGCTGTTGTTCTTTGGGATAATGGTTATTTAAGAGCTTGTGTAATATGTTAATCCAGTGGTATTCCTCAACTCCTAAAGAGCGTTGGTTGGGCCCCATCCTGATGTTGTACTATAAATTGGTGAGACGGTCCAAAAGTTCAACCAGGAAAGTTTTTCCCATTTGTATATGGTGTTTTAATCCTCAAATTTAATATTTTGTTTTATTACATAAATATTAGGATGAAGTAAAAAGAACAAGTGAAACGGGTGTCGAAGAAACCATCCTGGAGGGTCATCTTGGAGTCACAAAGGAGCTGCTGGCTTTCCAGACACCTGAAAAGAAATATCATATAGGTTCTGAAAAAGGAGGAGCTAATCTCATTAAGGCATGTGAATTTTGTGTTGTGTGGTTAATGCATTGAAACATTGCTTAAATTTCACTCAAATAGCTTTGAATGAAATTCAGGAAATTGAAGTAAATCTTGATGGTTATATTCTTAATTCATTTTCATTTTTTAGTGAGATGAGCTGAGCAGTATTTTACCATCTTAAAGTGTCTCTTCATAGAATCATACATTAACATCCATAAAGTGATTTCTACTCTTAAGACCTGCTGATATAATAATAAAATAATAATTCTTGCATTTGATATAGTGCTTTTCATGTCGGGAGGACGTCCCAAAGCGCTTCACAAAAACACACTGTAAAGTGAATTGACTGTATATTTGTGGGCGAACACGGCAGCCAATTGCGCACAGCAATGTCCCACAAACAGTTGTAGATTGAAAATGACCAATTTATTATTGTTTTTGGTTTTGTAGGAATTATTATTAGGCGTGTGGAGTAAGGAAACTTGCCCAAGGTTTCGCCCTGCCTGGAATTGAACTCAGGTCTCTCACTTGCAAAGCGAGTGCTCTAACCACTGAGCTACAGGACTCCACAAAAATATAGTAAATTAACATCATAGCAATAATTATTGTCCATCCCATATTCTGTCAACGAACATATCGATTTCAAGATCCTCTCACTAATTTTCAATTCCCTTCTTGCCCTTGCACCTCCCTACCTATCAAACCTGCTTACCCCCCACTCCATCACCCACTGCCTCCACTTGGCTGGCTCCGGCCTCCTGTTCGTCCCTCGTTCACCATCAATGGCTGTGCCTTAAGCCACTGCGCTCCGCAACTCTAGAAGTCTCTCCCTTAATCCCTCTGCCTTGCCTTCTTCCCCTCCACTTTTGAAATCCCACCTAAAGACCTTCCTTTTTGATCATGTTTATGGTCACCTCACCCTTCCCTCTCCCTATGGCTCGGGGTCAGATTCCGCCACTGTCAAGTGCTCCGAGATGCTACCCCACGTGAAGGGCGCTATATAAATGCAAGTTGTTCTTGTTGGGTGACAGCCCCAGGACCTGTTATTGCATGAAAGGTTAATCTATGTTTTTATTGTATTTGTCGATTTCATGAGAGTTGATATTTGATGTTCCTGGACTAAAAAGATATCAAACCAATTAACTGGAATTTTTGTTTCCCTATTCTCTGTAGGAGCTGATAGATGATTTTATCTTCCCAGCCTCCAATGTGTATCTACAGTATAAGAAGAGTGGGGAGTTGCCATCTGAGCAGGCCATTCCTGTTTGTAGTACGCCAGCTACCATCAATGCTGGTTTTGAGCTGCTGGTAGCGTTAACTGTTGGCTGTGTGCAAAACCTAAAACAAATCGTTGACACTCTGACAGATATGTATTATGCAGGTATGTATTTCAAATCTGGATGCCAAATAAGAATTTGGTTGAAATAAATGTTTGCAGTTTCAGTGAAAGAGATGAGAAAGGGATCTTTGGTAAGAGTGGACTGGATAATATAGCAAGAAAGAGATCAGGAAGGTTCTAAATGTAATCCCAGATGTATGCTTAGTTATCTGAGGTAATATCGGGGTACTAAAAATGGCCTCTTTGTCCTGGGCCATTGAGGGGGAGTATGAATATAGATTCCCAATCATAATGTTCATTCACTGATTCCTTGTGGAAGTGTATACACGTTTGGGTGAGCACTGGTTTTCAGTTCCAAGTGCTTGGCTGGGCATTTTACTTTGGTGGGGGACAGGAAAAGAAGTAAAGTGTAGTGTTTTGTTTGCTGAGCAATAATTCTCCAAATAATTTGTTGAATTAAATATTCTTAGTAATAATAAAGGGAAGGCAACCATTTTTTGTGAACTGAATGTTTATAAATGTTAATTCTTTGAAAACATTTTTAATATGTTTTCTTACACAAGCGATTTCACCAAGTTACAATTGGAGTTATAATTTTACCATTTTTATCAAAAGTTTTTGTTTTGACTTTCATTTGAATCTATTGTATAAGGAAATCTTTTTAAACAATTAATGGTGATTATTTGAAAAACTACTGAATATCATTAATGTGGATAATTAACATGGAATTATCAATCGATTTCTGACTCTGTACAAATCAGCTTCTTCAAATGAAATAAAACCATTTCAACCAATAGCCCAGCAATATCGATCATCACTAACAATGTCAAAACATAATCTTTCAACTAAATTTAAAATGTCACAACTTAATTTAAATTTATTCTATGTAAGAATTTTTCTAAGTATCTGAGTTATTCATCTTTGGAGTAACCATTGAAAATCCAGATTAAATTCTAGACAACTGGTTGTTTCCATTTTAGTGGTACAGTATTCTTTAAACTGCTTCAATTTTTTGTTTGGAGGTTAATATAGCAAAGCTCCTGTAGCATGCAGAGAACAGGGTTGCTGAGTATAAAATTTTGATTTCTGCTTAGGTTGTGAAGCATTAACAGAGTGGGAGTACTTGCCACCAGTCGGACCACGGCCTTCAAAAGGATTTGTAGGATTAAAGAATGCTGGTGCAACTTGCTACATGAATTCTGTTATCCAGCAACTGTACATGATACCAGCTATCAGAAATGGTATACTTACTACTGAAGGCACTGGCAGTGATGTTGATGATGATACATCTGGTGATGAGAAACAAGATAATGAGGTGATCACAAATTGCTAATTTTAAAATGTTATTGTTTCTTTAAAAATGTAAACTTGTGGTATTTGTTGAATATTAAATTATAGTAAAGAGATCAGCAGCAGAGAGCAAGAATATGTTGATTGCTTTTTCCTTTTTGTTACTTGTAAAATTGTTTTCACATTTGTGTTTGACAATTAAAATTCTATTGTTTCATAAATACCGACTTCATGGTATCCTAGAAAACAGTTAAAATTAATCTTCTAAATTTTGAATATTTTCATTTTTAAAAAAATCCCATGTAATTCCTGTAGGAGGATGCCATCCAATAAGGATTGTCAAAGTTGTAATGGCCATACATCAAAAAATGATGTTGCAATTGCAGTTTTTTGTGTTTATACTATCCAGAATAAAATTTGAAATATGAATAAAGTAGCTTCTGAAAAACTTTAAAGATGTTTTAAACTATTGAACTCTGATAATTTTTAGAGTAAATTGAATTTAACTGTTTAATTTTTCAGCAAATCTGTGATTTGTTTTGACTGAGGTTTATTCTCGATGCTTTTTAGATGCTTTACTCAAAAATTCTATTGAATGTACTTTCACAGAGCAACATAGATCCCAGAGATGATGTTTTTAGTTACCATCACCATTATGACAAACCTGTAATAGGAAAAACTGAAGATCGGAAAGAGTATAATATTGGCGTCCTCAGGCACCTTCAAGTCATCTTTGGACATTTGGCTGCCTCCAGATTACAGTACTATGTGCCTAGAGGTTTCTGGAAGCAGTTCAGGTTTGTAAATTCTGTCTTATAAATGGGTTGCTTTCGTGCATGTAATAAGAAATGGTAATTCTTATGATCTTTATTAAAATGTTGTTTTGGAGATTGCCCATTGAAAGGAATATTGGCAAATTGAGCAAAGAAAAATGTTATAGAAAAGATCTTAACTATACAATTTTTTAGGCTATGTAATTATACTGAACCTTTTCTTTAGAGTACAGCTGAATGCAATAGACATGTAAATTTAAACAAGTTATTTAACTTTCGCTGTAAATGTAGCACCAGATGACATAACTGTAAAATTGGTGACCATCAGCAAGAATTAAATTTAGAATTTTCCCTGTAGAGAAATGGATGTCCAGAATAGATTTCCAGGTGAATCAGTTGATCTTGTCTTGATTAATACTCCTTTGAAATATTACGTTCATATCTGGTTAGGAACAGGATCTGTTAATTAAAGATAGAGACGATGAATTGCTGAAAATGTCATGTCAAGGAAGCAATTAGCCTAAAATGAGTCACAGTAATTGTAGTTATACTGCAGGGAGCAAAAAGGCCTTATAACTCCATGGATCAGAAAAAGCGTTTTATATAGCCAACTTTCACATTTTATTTCAATCAAACCATAAACTTAACACTTTTTTNATTGCTGTGTATGCATATTTTAGTGGTCTTTAGACTGGCTCTTTAATGTAAAAGGAGTTCTGTTTAAAGTGAAAGCTTTGAAAGAACAATTAAATTAGCTCAATGTGCAGATGCAAATTGCAATTTTGCAGCACCACCAGCTCGTGTCGGGAGCAAGGTACATCACTGTTAAAATTGCTATGCTTTATTACTGAACACATTGTATAAATCCAATTTTAAATACAAATTCTAAAATTTTGTTAAATTTACTTTATTTGCATGCAGAACAGCATTGCAAGACATCAGTAAATTAACCAATGAAATATCTTTTCATCATATGTAAAACTAGTAAGTCTGTCACACCCATACTACTCATCCATATTCCCACAATACCTCCAATAATAATAATTTGATTACAACTGCCGTGCGCAATTGGCAGTCACATTTCGCCCACAAAATATATAGTCAATTCACTTTATAGGATATTCTGTGAAGCGCTTTGAGACGTCTAAACAACGTGATAAGGTGCTATATCAAATGCAAGTATTATTACTATTACACTCTTATGAAATTGGGCCATTTTTGTTTTGACCTGTCGGATGAATTTAGGAGACTGAGAGTGCATACAAGTACTAAGGCCTAGCTTAGACCACCAGCAGGGAGATATCATTATCAAGGATTTCCAACTCTTTTATAGAAATGTAGAATATCCAATGGAATAAATGAAGCTAAATGCAAAAGTTGATTGTAAAACTGTAACTATATAAAAAATGAAATTTCTGTATCAGTTTTAAATGGCTATCCAAATATAAAACCAATCTTTTAGGAAGTTAACAGAACGCATCTAATGACTAACTATATGAGTCCTTTGATTAAAAAAAATCACATTCACAGCAACATTTTCTAGTATATCCTGTGAAGTGCTTTGGGACATCCTCCTGACATGAACAGCGCTATCCTAATTGTAAGGATTACTGTATGAAGATTAAATTACTTCAAATAGTGAGGTAACCTTTTTTTTAAATTGTAACTTTCGTAGAACTTGTGCATTAAACTTCCATCTGTAGAATGCCAAGTTTTACAGTCAACTTTTGCATTTAGCTTCATTTATTCCATTGGATATTCTACAAAATGTATTTTGTATCACTGTTTTCAAATGTATAAATTGTATAAGTGCTCCATGAATTAAAAATATCAATTTGTTAAGAATGTTGACAGAGCTTTTGCAGAAATTTTCTTTAAATTAACTAGCTGTATCCATTCAATAAAAGAACCCTTGCATTTGATATTGCACCTATAATCTCAAACATCTCAGTGCACTTCACAAGGTTTCTGTAAAGTGTAGTGAATGTGTATTTATAGGGGAATGCAGCAGCCAATTTGCGCACAGCAGTGTCCCACAAACAGCCAGGAGTTGAATGACCAATTTAAATGAAGGATTGTTGGCCAGGACACCAGGAGAAATTCCTTTTTTTTAAAAAGTGTTACGGGCTTCCTAAAATCCACCCGAACAGCAGACAAAGGATCATGGTTCAACGTCTCATCCAAAGGACGCCACCTCTAACAATGCAGCGTTTCCCCAATGCTGCACTGGAGCATAATCCAAGATCATAAACTCATAAAGTCCCTGTGTCGGGACTTGAACCCACAACCTGCTGACCCAGAAGCAAGAATGCTACCAACTGAGCCAAGTTAATGCCCATTTAGGCAAGGTACCAGAAGGTATCCACCGCCTGTGGAATAGAACCTAGTAGAAGAAAAATAATTCAAAAAGGATCCCTTTCTGGTGTAGAGGGAAAGTAAGAAAACTGGAGAAAAATTGACAGGAAAATGTGCTGGTTGACACATTGGCACAGATCAGGAGCTGAAGGTATGTTTGAAAATGTAACTAATCTGGAGTGAAGATCATGATTTTAGGTGCTAAACCCAACCTGCTTATGTTGAGTTAGTAAGATTTTTTTTAAAAAGCTTGAACATTCTTTTCCCCTCTGTTTTCAGGCTTTGGGGTGAACCAGTTAACCTTAGAGAACAACATGATGCTTTAGAATTCTTCAACTCTCTTGTGGACAGCTTGGATGAAGCTTTGAAAGCTCTTGGACAACCTACTATGCTAAGCAAAGTTCTTGGGGGTTCATTTGCTGATCAGAAGATATGTCAAGGCTGTCCTCATAGGTATGTGTATAGCTTTGTAAAAGATGGTGTATTAATAACAAGTATTGTGAGATATCCATAATCTCTCTGGTCAAGGTAATGGTAAGCATCCAAGCATTGGTTTCCATAACCACAACTGCTTAAATTCCTTGCTTTTCTATTTTCTTCATTAAAGAGAGTTTGGATTAGTTATACTGTATAATAATCATAACATTACATTGTGGACCTCTGTGCTGTGAGGAGTTTATTAGTTTTCATCCCTTCAAACATAACTGGAACTTTTGGTAATATTCCACAACATCTATAATATGTCTTTGATGTAATGTTACATCTTTGATAAAACTTTGATTTAGTACAGTTATCTCTTGATCATCCATCATTTTCAACTCTGTTTTGGATACATGGGGTTAACTCTATCTGACTGTCCTCTTGTTTTGACTTTGGATAATTTTACTACTTATGTTTTTGATCTGCTGCATTGCCTTTTCTATTCTCGCTTCACATCTCTAATCTCTTTTTGACCTGTTTTGCATAATATGGTACAATTACCAATGGTCACCCTTTCCCTCAAGTTTTGTTAAAAAAAGTTGACCTCCCTTTTAATTTTTCTATTAATTTTAGAGCTTTTTGTTGATTTAATTTCATTGCATATGTATGTATTTCACCTAAATACTTATATTTTAAGGATGATCATTTATCTTAAATTAACAGTATTCATATCTTTTAAATAATACTCTGAATTTTGGGTTACTTTCAATATTTCATTTTTGTTCTTGTCTTCTTGTCTTATTTTTGTCTTAAAGTATTTGTTGATTTCAAAGATCTTTGAAAAGTGGGTTAGGTATTGGTTACATTTGTTGTTTTATTCACTGTGGCAGGTATGAGTGTGAAGAATCCTTCACAACGTTGAATGTAGACATTAGAAACCATCAAAACCTGCTTGACTCACTTGAACAATATGTGAAAGGAGACTTGTTGGAGGGCGCCAATGCATACCACTGTGAGAAATGCAACAAAAAGGTAAATTATTATTTGATTCTAAATTGGGCATTTCAAAATCCATACAAGATTCTCATTGAAGTTGGTATTTCATTGTATCCTAAGAATCTTGTATTGGTTTTAAAGTTAATTACGCTGGGCATAGATACTGCATAACAGATCCTACCACGGGAAACTCTTATATATTGTTACTGCAAGAGAAAAGAGTTCAGTGACTGTATCCGAGGTGACAATGAAAGCTTGGGGATGCTGTGACCAGGAGGACCTTCACCAACAGACATACTGCACCTGCACAGAGCGAGCAACTGTCCGTGTTACAGAGCGGCAAACTCATTTGTTAAGTGCAGTATAAATTTATGTATATAGTCTATAAAAAATGTTTTGGTCATTTTGCTCATTTTAACAACCTGAATCACTCAGACTTTAACAATCAGGCAGAACCTCACTGAAAGCAAGATCTAAAATTTCTACTTGCAGAGATCTTGCCACAACAGTCAAATTAGCCCACTACGCAGTTCTTATAGTACAGGGCGGCGAGAGTTTGCTGAGTGACCCAGTGACGTTTTCCGCACTAGGCTGCTCATAGCTGGAGTTCGCTGAGCGACCCAGTGACATTTTCCGCACTAGGCTGTTCATTGTGAGAGTACGCTGAGCAGCCCTGGTATTTAACAAGGCTTGCTGAGTGATGCGGGTAAGTTTATTCCGTTGATGTATCTAATATTTTACTTGCAGGCATGTATAAAAAGCGACTTTATATGTTATAAGTGAGTGATGAAATAAAGAGACCCTTATTCCCTTTAGAAACTCTTTAATTAATCACTCGCTTCTAACATACAAAACATTATAACATATGCTGTCAATATTCCAGTCACTTGCTGTGCAAAATGTGTATAAGGGATCCCCTCGTGACATTTTGCACAGGAAGTGACTGGGATATTGACAGTATGATGACATAAGGCAGGGTCTTTTTTCAGGAGTTCAATATATATTTTTACCAGCTTCTGTAGTATCTATATATTGTTCTATTGATATTTACTTGGACATGCTTACCATTCCAGCTTTTTCATTCCACGTGACATTTTCCATTCCATCACCTGAGTGTATCAGTCACATATATTTTATATATTCTGTCTGGCCCAATTGTACAAATTCTGAAGCTTCCACATAGCTTCTACATTGTTTTTGTTCAACCTCTGCAAGCAGTAGGATATTTATTGATTGTCATTCGCTGGGCATAATTATCTGGAAAAAGGTTCCCACTTTACACTTATTAGAGTTAATTAACCTTTTGGTGTTTATGCTGTTGAATTCTCCCTTTTCTCCTCATCAGTCAGCCTCTAGTGGAAGATAACTCATCCCTGCAAACTTTAATTTAAAGCTTAAGTTTTTCTCATTTCCCCTTTCAACTTCACACTCCAGAGAAACTGTCCCAAACATATTCACAGTAACCCTCAACTGTGCTACAACCTTAAGGCAGTTTCTAATCACTTCTTCATTGCCTCAGACGCACCGAACCCATGCATAATTTAGGCGTCAAGTTCAATCCCCAGGTTTCCTTTCTACTCCACATCCATTCTCTGACCAGGACTGCTTTTTTTTGCCCACCTAATTCACATTATACCTCACAACCAAAGCAGCTGAAACCCTTGTCTGCACCTTCGTCACCTCTCGGCTGGACTACTCAAATGCCCTCCTTGCTGGTCTCCCCCCCTTCACTATTCACAAAATTCAACTCATCCAAAACTCCCTCGCCCACATTCTCACCCGCACTAAACTCCGCACCCTGATTAACCCAGTTCTTACCAAACTCCACTGGCTCCCTGTCACAGAGCGGATCGACTTCAAGATCCTCACTCTAGTGTTTGAATCCCTCCATGCCCTGGCACCCCCTAATCTCTCCAACTTCCTCTCTCACAGCAGTACCCGCTCCTCCGCTTTACTGGCTCCAGCCTCCCGTTTGTCCCTCATCCTCTCTGCTCCATCAATGGTGGCCGTGCCTTCAGCTACTACACCCCAGAATTCTCTCCCTCTCCCACCTTGCCCCTCTCTCCCCACTTTCAAATCCCGCCTAAAGACCTTACAGTCACCTCCCTCTCCCCCTGGCTCCGACTCCACCACTGTCAAATGCTCCGTGACGGTACCCTGCGTGAAGGGTGCAATGTAAGTGCAAGTTGTTGTTGTTGCCTCTTTCAAAGTGTGTTCCTTTTGCAGTTTCAATCCCTTCAATCTTTCCTTTTGATACAGGATTCCTCCACCAGCATCACATCTAATTCTCTACTTTTCCTCTGGCATGCCACGATTTCTACCTCAGCTGATCTGCCACATGTATTCTTTGGATCCATTATTAATTTCTTGATTCCCACCAAATTTCAACTGTTTAGTTCAGTATCATAGAATATTATAAACCTGGGTTATAAACACGGATGCTTCAGTCCTTGCTGGAAAATCTATGTGCCATCATCAAATGAGGGTGAACTCAGCGCCTTGGGATGTCCTCCCGACGTGAAAGAAGCTATACAAATGTAATTTTGTTGTTGTTGTTGTTCTGCATAATAGAATACATTTCCCTTTGGATTTGTGTGTGTGTGTAGGATAGTCACTTGAGCCAGAGGGCTTTGGTGAAACCATAAGTAAAATGTGAAACTACATTTTTACATGTCTTTGAATATACATTTTAATTATGTATTCTAAATTAGGTAGAGTGGTACTATAATATTTTAGAAACTTGTTTGCCTTTCAGGTGGACACAGTAAAGCGTTTGCTAATAAAGAAGCTGCCACCAGTTTTAGCAATTCAACTGAAACGATTTGACTATGACTGGGAAAGGGAATGTGCAATCAAATTCAATGATTATTTTGAGTTTCCACGGGAGCTGGATATGGAGCCTTATACAGTTGCAGGTGTTGCCAAGTTGGAAGGGGATGATATCAATCCAGAAAATCAGGTGATCCAAAATGACCAGCCAGATAATGAACAGCCTGGTAGCACGAAATACAGACTAGTTGGTGTCTTGGTGCACAGTGGGCAAGCCAGCGGTGGACATTACTATTCTTACATCATTCAGAGAAATGGTGGAGATGGTGAGAAGAACAAATGGTATAAGTTTGATGATGGTGATGTAACTGAGTGCAAAATGGATGACGACGAGGAGATGAAAAACCAGTGTTTTGGTGGAGAATATATGGGTGAAGTCTTCGACCATATGATGAAACGTATGTCATACAGGCGACAAAAACGATGGTGGAATGCCTATATACTTTTCTATGAACGTATGGATACAATAGATAAAGATACTGAGTTAGTTAAATACATTTCCGAGCTGGAGATTACCATTAAACCACACCAGATAAAGATGCCAAGCGTCATAGAGCGAAGTGTTCGGAAGCAGAATGTACAATTCATGCACAACCGAATGCAGTATAGCCTGGAGTACTTCCAGTTTATGAAGAAACTACTGACCTGTAACAGTGTCTACCTGAATCCACCACCTGGTAAGTGTATATTCCACTATCTGTTTATGGCATTAGAGCTGTAAAACTCCTCATTTGAAATTCGACTGTCCGGGGTACTGCTGTGTGCAATTGGCTGCCACGTATTGCTCACAAAATATACAGTCAATTCACTTTACAGTATATTCTGTGAAGTGCTTTGAGATGTCTCAAAAGATGTGATAAGGTGCTATATCAAATGCAAGGGTTATTATTAATCGGAGGTCCCATCTGCCTGTTTAGATGGATGTTAATGATCCCATGGCAATATTCATACAAAAGAAGGGAGTTTCTCCTGACCAACAATCCCCCAAATAAAGATTGGTCACTCATTATGGGCAGTTTGTGGGATGTTATTGGAGAAAAAGTGCATAACTGGGTGCTGCTTTTCACCCACAAAATACACAGTCAATCCATTTGATAGTATATCCTGTGAAGCACTTTGAGATTCTCAATGATGTGACAAAGCTCTATATCAAATGCAAGGATTATTATTACAATGCAGCAAATGTCTTTTGTCCTTGTGCGGATTGTATATTTCTGTTTAAACTAAGGTGAAGCATCACAGCTTTTGAATTGTTGGGTAATTTTCTACGTCAATGAGATGGTTTCGTAATGGTTTATTGGTTTTGACGAAGTTCGTTGAAAGCGCTTTCTGGCAAAATTCCTGCTTATCCAGCAAGGACCATCCTACCTATTCGGGCTTTGGCTTGCAGAGTTTACAGGAGCCAAGTAAAAAGAACCTCTTGGAGAAAAAGTGTCTTATTTTAAATACCAAACCTTTTTTGATTCATCAGTTTATTTTCTGTATTTGGCATACTTTATCCAATTGATCCCTGTTATACTATACTGTTTAAGGCAGATGCCTTGTGGATTTGGGCTGGCATAAGATGTGCGGGCTTTCTGCGCACTTCATATTTGTTTTAAAAAAAGGCAGACTTCGGGGGCTGTCAGTACCACTGATGTCACAAGCAGGAAATGACCGTAGCAGCCTGGTATCTTTGAAGTCAACCATTTTTCTGGGCTTCTCAGACAAGGCCTGAGTGATTGGATGCCCAACAATTGCTTTTTAACAGTTGCTTTATTACACTTGTGCATTATTACAATCATTTCAAGGTTGCTTTGTTTTTCTTGTTTTTGCTTTTGTAAATGTTAGCATATGACAAGAAAGGCATTTTAAGAAGAGAACTTATTTTGTACTGCCTTATCGAACGTCGCAAATTGTTTCATGGTAATTAGTCCCAAATGTAGTGATTATTTGCACCAGCAGGGTTCAAAAAACAGTCATGAGCTGAATGATCAATTATCCAGGAGGATTTGTTTTTGATCTTGACCCATGTGGAAACCCATCATCGTGTTTAAGAGTATTGAAACAAGACCCATAGTTCCACACATATATGTCACTTACACACAGAAGTTTCCCTGAGTCTGGAAAGGAATGTGCATAGTCTCTATGGAGAGACGAACCCAGTTTATATAATTTTGGAGAATATTACGCACAGGTTGGCAAGAGCGAAGGCTTGGGCACCCCAGAGTGTGTGTTGGGGTACTGCTGGAGTTTAACCAGCTATAACCGGCTAACTTGTCATTGATAGCCATGTCTGGTAAACTTCCTGCTGCTTATCCAGCTCGGACCACCCTACCCATTAGAGCCTTGTCTTCTGTCCTATGGCTTTGACCTTCTCAACCTCCCTGGTCTATCCCTCACACTCACCAGTACCGGTGCAAAACCTGGACGTCAGGTTCAATCCACAGCTGTCCTTCCTCCCCGACATTTAATCCCTGACCAGGACCACCTTTCTCCACTCTACCACATTGCCCGCCTCTGACTGTACCTTACCCCAGACACAGCTAAAACATTCGTCCATGCGTTTGTCACCTCCCGACTTGACTTTTCAAATGCCCTCTTCTCTGATTTCCCCAGCTCCACCATGCACAAGATCCAGCTGATCCAAAATTCCGCCGCCTGCATACTCACCCACACTAAACTCCATACCCCCTTGACGCCAGTACTCGCTGGGCTCCACAGGTTCCCTGTCGCCAAACGGATCAATTTCAAGATTCTCACACTTGTTTTTGAATCCTTCAAGTCCCTTATTCAAAATTTATAAGATTCATTTTAACTGTTTTCTGGGATACCATGGGATATCACCTTATAATTTTGCTTCCTCTCCAACCCACCATCCGCTGCCTCCGCTCAACTGGCTCCAGCCTTCTGCATGTCCCTCGTGCCCTTCATTCCACCATTGGTGACTGCGCTTTCAGCCACTACGCCCTGAAACTCTGGAACACTCTTCCTCTATCCCTACATTTAGCCCCTTCCCTCCTCATCTTGAGGTCACGCCTGAAGACGTTCCTCATTGACCGTGATTACAGTCACTTTCCACCGGCTTGGTTCCACTGCTGACAAGCTCTCAGGGAGGCTACCCTGCATGAGGGGTGCTCTGCAAGTTGTTGTTGCTGCTGCTGCTGTAAAGTAATGTGTTGACAGCATCCCTGCTCCCAGTAATCTGGAGGATTGTTGTTCAGAACACTGGGACTTTTGAACAGTTTTATGGGACCTTAGAAAGTACAAAAGGATAAAAAAACACAGGCCTATGAATACTTTGTCACCACTTTTTGTCAGGTTCTTCGCAGTCCTCGCCAGCAATTTTCCATTATAAAAATAACTTTATCCAATGTGGAAAACATTAGGATACCTGATTTTGGCATGGTGTTCCTACTTTTTTTTGAATGGTTAATTGGAAATGCAGATTCTTTGGCTTCTTTTGACTTAGAACTTTAAATTTTATATGTCTTGTATTTATCAAGTATGCTGCAGTAGAGCATACTGTATATTCAGTATGACCCTTGACTCTTCCAAGAAACCTTGCCCTGTCATAAATTCAATTTTATTTCTGGACCTTATTCTCATTTCTAAAAAAAAATGTATGGTACTTTTTTGCGTTTGGAGGTCAAAGACACAAACAGACACAAATATCCTTCACAGACACAAATTAGGTTGGGAAGGATCGAATTGGACCACACGGAGTTGTAACACAGTTTGTCTGCCAAATTCACCAAAACAGTAAGCGGCTGTCTAACCAGCTAAAACCGCATAGCTTGCCATTCATAGCACTGTCTGGCAAGCTTTCCTGCTACTTGTCCAGCTAGGATCACCCTACCCGAGAGCTTTAGGCTTGCAGGGTTAACAGGAGCTGAGTGGGAGGATTTCCTGCCCCCAGTAATGGTCTGCAAGTCCAGCCAGGCTGGTTGTTCACTAATTTTCAAAAATCATGTGGAACAGTTTACTCTTTTTTTTAAAATTGTTCCTTTTACATTTTAGGATTACAGAATTGCAGAAATTAATCCAAATTTTCCATTCAGGTTATCAGGTGGAAAATTATAGGAGCAATCAGAAATCTGAAGTGTCACAGAAGTTATCAAGACAATATGGTTCACAAGGTGCATGATTCAAAGTAGTGAATCACTCCACTGGTATAAAACGGTTAAATGGATTTAATCCTCCCAAAGTAATAATAATACTTGCATTTGATATAGGGCCTTATCACGGCTTCGAGACTTCTCAAAGCGCTTCACAGAATATACTGTAAAGTGAATTGAATGTATTTTGTGGGCGAAAATCGGTAGTCAGTTACACAGTAGTGTCCCACAAACAGTTGTTTGTGGGACACTGCTATGTCCCTGAAACCCACCACCTGCTCCCTTGACCCCATCCCCACTCCACTCCTTATCTCTCAGCTCCACCTCCTTGCCCCACTTATCACAGACATCATCAACCTGTCCCTCTCCTCTGGCTCTATTCCCACTCCCTTAAAAACTGCCACCGTTACTCCACTTTGAAAAAACCCTCCCTTGATGCGTCGCAGCTATCAAGCTACCGGCCCATCTCCAACCTCCCCTTCCTGTCCAAGGTCCTTGAAAGAGTTGTCGCCTCCCAGTTGCGCTCTTTCCTCTCCACCCATGCATTATTCAAACCCCTTCAGGCAGGTTTCCGTGCTGCCCATAGCACAGAAACTGCCCTGGTCAAGGTCACCTATGACATCTTGACCATCTGCGACCAGGGCTCCCTCGTCCTCCTCGACCTATCGGCAGCATTCGATACGGTCGACAACACTATCCTCCTCCACCGCTTGTCCTCCCACCTCAACCTTCAAGACCCTGTCCTTGAGTGGTTTAGGTCGTACCTCTCCCACCGTCTTCATTTTGCTTCCACAAACGGCTTTTCCTCCAGCCCCCGCACTGTCTCGTGTAGCGTCCCTCAGGGCTCTGTCCTCGGTCCCCTCCTCTTCACCCTCTATATGCTCCCCCTTGGTGACATCATCCGCAGACATGGGGTTAACTTCCACATGTATGCGGATGACACCCAACTCTACCTTTCCTCCTCTACCCTCAACTCCACGACCACCGATGTCCTGACAGCCTGCCTGTCCGACATCGAGTCCTGGACGAGAGACAACTTTCTTCAGCTCAACGTGCGCAAAACTGAGGCCCTCCTGATTGGCTCACGTCAGCGCCTCCGCACCTCAGGCGCTGACAGCATCAGCATCCAAGGCTGCACTCTCCACCTCTGAAAGCCAGTCAGGAACCTCGGGTTTCTGTTCGACCCTGAGCTGTCCTTTCTCCCTCATATCCGCGCCACAACTGGCACCGCCTTCCATCACCTCCGAAACATCGCCAGATTACGGCACTACCTCACCCCTCACGCTGCTGAAACTGGTCCACGTCTTTATCACCTCAAGGCTGGACTATGGGAACTCTCTCCTCGCCGGCCTTCCCGGCACCTCCCTCCACACTGCAGGTCATTCAGAACTCTGCAGCTCGTGTACTGTCCCGCACCAGGCTTCGGGACCACATCACTCCCACCCTCGCTCGCCTCCACTGGCTCCCCATCCCCCAGGGGATCGAATTCAAGATCCTCATCTACAAGGCCATTCACGGCCTCGCTCCCTCCTACCTCTCCGACCTACTATCCCCCTACTTACCTGCCCGTACCCTCCGTTCCTCTGGCTCCGGTCTGCCCCACATCCCCCGCCCCAACCGCCCTACCATCGGTGGCCGGGCCTTCAGCCTCTCAGCCCCAGGCTCTGGAACTCTATCCCCCAGTGCCTTCGCCGCCTCCTCCCTTTCTTCCTTCAAGGCCGGTCTCAAGACCTTTCTCTTTGACCGTGCCTTCACCTCCCCTCTCGACTCTCTACCCCTTCCTCCCTCCCTCCCTTCCCTCCCCCTGACCATTTCCCCCTGCTCGGGTCCTGACCCAACTGTCCAGCGCCTTGGGATGTCCTCCCGACGTGAAAGGCGCTCTAGAAATGAAATCTTGTTGTTTCAACTGCTGAGAAGTGTTACCGTATTAGAAACATACAAACAGTCGTAGGCCATTCAGCCCCTTAAGCGTCTGTCATTCTATAAGATCATGGCTGTCCAATTACTTGCCATATCCCTTAATACCCTGACCTAACAAATATCTATCCACCTCAATCTTGAAGATGTGAATGGATCCAGCATCCACTACCGTTGGGGGAGAGTTCCAAATTTCTACTATCCTTTGGTGAAAAACTGCCTCCTAAATGGCCCAGCTCTAATTTTAACACTATGCTCCCTTATTCTGGATCCCCCATCAGAGGAAATAGTTTCTCTGTATCTACCCTATCAAATCCGTTTATTACTTTAAAAACCTCAACCAGATTAAGTTGACCTGTATAAAAGCATTAAAATGTGAGCATGGTATGCTTGACCAAGAATCACAATCGCAAAAGAAACTACGCAAATGGTTTTCTCCAAAAAAAAATAATCTCTGCTAATTGTCAGACAACAGCAGGTCACCTTTCGGCCAGTTGGCTAAACTTAACCCAAAAGGCAAGGGCCCTCAAGGACTATAGTGGATACCAGGCAATGAGCCTGTAGTGGAGAAGATTTTTAAATTTACTGATCCTTGTAAACTGATCAAGGACACAAGTACAGAGTAACAATTTGATCTATTTAATAATGGAGTAAAACAAGGCCTTCAAGTAGTATAGCAGGCTCATTCTGAAGGAGAGAAGTTCCTGTTATAGATTTCTGTATCCTTCAAAGGGAAAGGCTTCATGGTTTTGTTTCCAGATCTTTCTGTGAAAGGCTGCACAAACATTTGACAATTACGTTTGAAGTATTACATAAAGCATCAAGAGTAAGATGCTACACAACCACTTAATCACAGATTCACCATGATTACAATCTTTGTTTAAAAAAACATTTTTTAAGAATATTGTTCTTGACGTAAGATCTGTTCCTGAGTAAGATTTTTTAAAACATGTTTGCAGGAACTAACTTTATTTGCTCAAATACTGTTGACATGCTTTGAAATGATAGGCTTGGATACTTATACCAACTGGCTTCCTAGCTACTTGCCTAACCCCATTTCATCCAGAGAACATCTAACCAGCAACATCAAAGAAGCAAGCAACCAAACCTATTTTGTCCTGTAGCTCAGTGGTTAGAACACTCCTCCCAAACGAGAGATCAGGGTTCGATTCCCGGCAGGATGAAATGTTGGGCAAGTTTCCTAACTCCACAGGCCTCTTGTTTACCTAGCAGTAAGTAGGAACCTGGTTGTTAGTCGATTGGCAGATTGCTTTTCTGGGGAGTAACAATTCTTTCAAAAAAAATAACAATTTGGTCACTCAATCAAAAACTGTTTTGTGACATCTTAAAGACATGATAAGGCACTATATCAAATGCAAGGATTATTTTTTAGTATGTCCAGTGCTGATGACTCTGTAGATTAGTTCTGAACACAGAAGTTCCACTGGGTACTACATAAGCATCAGACAATTTTGGTATGGTGTGAGGGGCAAATTCAGAATGAAAAAAAGGAAAATTAACTACTAGTGTGATCTTCATTCTTTTAATCTAATCCTTGCCTTTCTTGTCCTCCGCTCAAGACTGTGATAATTATATTTATATTCATTAAAGTAAGTGAAGAAGATTTATTAAATGGGCAATATTGTGTCGATTAGAGGGGTAATCCTGCCACTTTATAAATTACTGGTGCGACCACACTTGAAATACTGTGTGCAATTCTAGTCACCGCAATACAAAAAGGATATTGCAGCGATTGAGGGGATACAGAGGAGGGCAACCAAAATGATTGAGGGAATGGATGGACTGGACTACGAGGAGCGATTAGATAAACTGGGCGATTGAGAGGATTCAGAGGAGGGCAACCAAAATGATTGAGGAGATGACAGGACTGGACTATAGGCAGCGAATAGCTAAACTGGGCTTATTCACACTGGAGAAGAGAAGGTTGAGCGGCGATATAATTACGGTCTTTTGAATCATTACGGTGATTCTGAAGGGAATAAATAATGTAGACCATGATAAGCTGTTTTATCTTCTACTGAACAGTAGAACCAGAGGACATGGCCTGCGATTGAAGGGGAGTAAATTCAGAACAATTCTGCAGAAACACTACTTCAGTGAGTGAGTAGCAAACTAATGGAACAGGCTCCCTAGGGAAATAGTAGATTTCTGCTGGAAAATAAGATCTAGGGGTACATTATACAGTTTGGGACATAACATGTCAAGTGGCTGCCAGGATGGTGGAAGGCGAAGTCGATGGACCTTGGGCTTTTGCCTAGCAAATTCATATGTTCTTAAGATGGGGGCTGAACTTTCATATAAAATGTAATAGTTGTGGTATCACATTTGTGACAAAGAAATTACTTGAATCTGGATGCACTTAATCCTACAATGTATGGGATATTTTTGATGTGAAGAATTATAAGACTTTGGTTTTAACGTGGCTTTTTCAGTCATTTCCAAATGAAAAATCTGTGTATTTAGGAAGAGCCTCGTCTTTTAATAAACATCTGTGGTTGATACAGGGCAAGATCAGCTGTTGCCTGAAGCTGAAGAACTGGCTATGATAAGTATTCAACTTGCGGCAAGGTTCTTGTTCAATACAGGGTTTCATACAAAGAAAATTGTCCGTGGTCCAGCAAGCGAATGGTAAGCATCGTTTTTTTTACATCTTTTTACATTTCCATTTATGCTTTAGACGCTGATGAACATGACTTTTCTAGTGGCGTTTTCATAATTGTATAGTTATGTTAAATATGAATACTTATCTATTAAAATGTTTGTTGCAGAGGTGATTTGTATTTTCTTTACAACTGATGAATAATTTTATCCTGTTGTGCATTTTATGATGTATAAATATTTATAAATTATTAGTATTGAAACGCTCTCCTCTTTCTCCCAAAGGTATGATGCATTGTGTATCCTGCTCCGCCACAGCAAGAATGTACGCTATTGGTTTGCACATAATGTTCTTTTTGCCCACCCAAATCGCTTCTCTGAGTACCTTCTGGAGTGCCCTAGTACAGAAGTGAGGAGTGCTTTTGCTAAGCTCATTGTATTTATTGCACATTTCTCTTTGCAAGATGGACCATGCCCTTCCCCCTTTGCCTCCCCAGGACCTTCCAGTCAGGTAAGAACATTCATAAAAGGGAAAATAAATAATTGTATTTTAAAATCCCTCAATTTTGTTTCAAATCTTAAATGGTTTGAGATAAAATTCATGTAAAGTGAAGATTATCTGTATGTGTTTTGAAGTGGGGAAAAACATTTGTACATTGTTTTCCAGAAGGAGGATCCAAAAATCCCACTCAAATTCAATTATTATTAATTTCCACTGTCTACAGAATTGGCGTTCTGGCAGTATAGAACTTGTTTCTTTATTTTTATTACTGACAGTATGTGACAGGTCTGATATTGAGAGTGGGAAATAATGACATCACCAATGCATCAGTCGTTTTGTATGGAATCTGGCTAACCTTAATTTTTCTTTGTCATGTGGAGGGCACTTTTCATTTGAAAAATGAACATGATTATACTGGGTAATTAGTTCCTTATGTAAACCTATGTGTAAGTGTAGACAGCAAAACAAGGCAAGACGAAACAACACAGTCATTTGGAAAACTCTTAACTGGCCTAAATTATGACCTGTGCAAGAGTTGGGAAATGTGATGAAATCACATTGTGACATCTTGCCATTCCAAAATGTTAAATTTATCCTGTAAGCTTAGTGGTTAGAGCACTTGTCTCACAAGCGAGAGTACCTGGGTTTGATTTCCGGGCCGGGCGAAAATGTTGGTCAAGTTTCCTTACTCCACACTCCTCTGTTTACCTAGCAGTAAGTAGGAACATGGTTGTTAGTCGATTGGCGGATTGCTTTTCATGGGGTAATAATTCCTTCAAAAAAAATAACACTTTGCTCATTCAATCAACAACTGTTTGTGGAACACTATGTGTAATTGGCTGCCTCGTTTCACCTACAAAATATAGTCAATTCACTTTTCAGTACATTCTGTGAAGCGCTTTGAGACTTCTCGAAGAGGGTCTATATCAAATGAATATATCAAAGGATTATTATTAAATTGTTATGCTTCATGTATTTGATTTCCATGTGCATGTAAGCCATAATTCCACAAAGCAGTCACAAAATCTATTTTATAAAATGACCCAGTTTAGCATGTGTCCACTTATAGTGTGGGTGTACTGTGGACCCATGCTATGCTGGAAGCATGGTACACTTGCGGCTTCAGTCGTTGACTGGCTGGCTTCCTGTGCGAAGTGCAGTAAACCCTGCTGATGTCACTTTCTGCTCAATCTATGCTGTCTCTTGTGTTTGAAGACTGAGGTACAGTGTGCATTGAGGGTCACTTATACTAGAGAGCAGAAGGGGCAGGGTCACAGAGTTACTTTCCCCCCCCCCCTATTGGTTTTGATGACATAAATTATGTTGGATGTAGAATTAGGAAGACCATTAGAATGTAAATAACATTTTCATTACACATTTTGGAATAAAAGAAGAAATGTTACTTTTTGAACTTGATATGGCTGCAACATTGATACTGAATTTCAAAAATGTTATGAGCAAACGTTCATTATGTTTTAATTTAAATGGAACAAAAACTTTTTTTTTCGCCAGGCTTATGATAATTTAAGTCTCAGTGATCATCTTCTTAGAGCTGTTCTAAATCTACTGAGACGAGAGGTATCTGAGCATGGAAGGCACTTGACACAGTACTTCAACCTTTTTGTTATGTACGCCAATCTGGGTAAGAAACTGAATCGTCGGCTGTAAAAATTCTAGAGTTAATTTCATAATGTATTTTCTGGCATGTATTTTAAAAACTTTGTTTTAATTAATGTGATTAAGTATGAAGAAACATCATGAAAATGTATTTCACACTGCAGCCTTTTAAATACAGTTGTTTTCATGCAATCTACTTGTTGCTGTATTTAGAATAGTAACATTTCTAGAGAGACATCAAGCCACATTTACTACTTACATTCACATTAACTGAGGCAAAAAAAATTAAGTCATTACAATTGTTCTGTTTTATTATCCCATCATCCCCACCCTTGCCCAACTCGACTGGTTCCCATCCCTCCGAAGATAGAAATCAAAATCCTCGTCCTCACTTTCAAGGCCCTTCACGGCCTTGCTCCCTCCTACCTCTCTGCCCAGCTAACCTCCTATCAATCTGCCCGCTCCGTCCGTTCAGCAGGCTCCACTCAACCCGCCCTACCATCGGCAGCCAGGCTTTCAGCCTCTCTGCCCCCACCCTCGAACTCAGTCCCACAATCCCTTCACCTTACCGGGCAATCACGTATTGCAGCTCTGTGGTAGCATAAGATCACTGACGCTGAGAGATCCTTTTTAAATTGCTTACTTGTATATTAATTTAGAACCAAATCCTGTTCCAGAAATCAAATGGTAATGTAATTTTGGAACTTTTAATCTTGAATAGAATAATTTAGTATTCCAGAATTATAATCCTAACTAGTAAAATCAGTATCTTCATAAGTATTGAATGCACTTGAATGATTTGGGTATGGTTTTATTTTATTATGTTACAGGTGTGTATTGATGCTTTCAATTCTTTTCATGGTTTCTGAAATTACTAATTTTCTGTTCCCCAGGGGTGGCTGAAAAGACACAATTGCTAAAACTGAATGTGCCTGCAACATTTATGCTTGTTGCTTTGGATGAAGGCCCAGGTCCTCCTATTAAATACCAGTATGCTGAACTTGGCAAGCTTTATGCTGTGGTGTCACAGTTAGTTCGTTGCTGTGATGTATCATCACGCATGCAAACTTCAATTAATGGTAAGTGTTATACGGCACAGAAAGATCAAATTGTTTAGAATCTTGGGGGGCAGAGAGAAGCAGCAGACTGGTATATTTTAATTGTTAGCAGAAATAAAGCTGAAATGTTTATAATGTGTGTTAGATTGTCACAGGTGTAATCATTGGAGATGGATTAAGGTAGGGTATCGTGAAATAGAAGAATATGGTGCTGGAAATGTCTCAAGCTGGAAAGGGTAGCCCAATATTGATACCTCATCAGTACAAAAAGCAAGATTTCTGGTTTGCAGATAATGCATGGATACATATACATAAATTCAAAACATTTATGTATCCATACATTTGAGATCTGTGTATCATCAGCAAACAAGACATCTTGTTTTTTATACCCACATTCGAAATGTTATTTAAGTGACTAAACTGAGCAACCCCATTCCAACTTGAAAACTTTCCATTTAAGCTATATTTTCTTCCTAGATTTGGATTTTCAGTTGCACTGTGCAAAATTAGATCTTGTTTATCGAATATTTTATTTCCAAACTGATGCGCTATTGGCAGAGTGTGGGCAAGTACAATATAATGAATCCAATCATGTTATTTCAACATCTCACCTGTTTGAGAAAATTACTGTATGGGGTCATTTTGTGCACCCTGCAGCATTTCTTTTAAACTATGGTACTCAATCTTCAAAGGGAGTGAATGCTTCACACAGTCAATTAATAGACATGGGTATTTTGCTGAGGTTAGACCAAGATTCTCAAAGCATTATAAGTTAGATGCTACTGATAGTTAGATATTTGGTATGTAACTCTAAATATGGATTCTGCTCACAAAACTTTCTTAACTGATCACAAGAACATTTGTAGAGAGATTTCTCAGCTCTGTCCATCCAGCTTTCATCAGAAGGAGGAATTCAGGAAATGGGATGGGCATGGAGAGAAGGGCATCTGAAAAGGATAAAACTTCAAAGTCAATGTATTTCAACAATCAAATTAATTAATTGTTTAGTAAGAAGATATACATTCTAAAGAACAAAAAGTAATAGAAATTTTGATTTTTAGGAAATCCGCCCCTGTCAAACCCCTACGGTGATCCTAACCTGTCCCAGCCTATAATGACTATCCAGCAGAGTGTGGCAGACATCCTGTTTGTACGAACTAGTTATGTGAAAAAGATTATTGAAGACTGCAGCAATTCTGAGGAGACCATCAAACTACTTCGCTTCTGCTGCTGGGAGATTCCACAGTTTTCTTCCACTGTTCTGAGTGAACTCCTCTGGCAGGTTTGGAAATGTTCAAAAAGTTTAATGAAAAGGAAACCAATAAATATAAGAAAGATTAGTGTTTTCTGAATTGGACCATCAGATTTTTATAGTGGATGACTAACCTGGTGTGCTTTCGACATTTCAAGCAGATCTATGCAATAATAATAATCCTTGCATTTGATATAGCACCTTATCACGTCTTCAAAACATCTCAAAGCGCTTCACAAGAATATACTATAATGTGAATTGTTTATTTTGTGGGTGAAACCTAGCAGCCAATTGTGCACAGTAGGGAAAAACTTTAGCAAATTTTCAGATTCTCCATATGTGTCTAAGCATTGGTCTCCTTTGCCACCAGATGTAGTCTTCGAGCAAAATATTTTGAGAAATAGAAGCAATTTATAAGGATGTTCTTGCTTGCAAGATTTTCAAAATTTATTTCCTTTTAAAGCTCAAGTTTTCAATCTTGATTCTATTTTTAAAAGTGATCTTGAAGTTGCACCTTTCTATACAGTATATGTGGAAACTGTTATAAACTGGGCCAATAGAAATATTTTGTTTTGTGACAATTCAATATCAGTATTTCCTCATGTTTAGTTTTTAACATTAAAATGAAAAAATGTAGGTTAGCAGTAAAATATATCTTAATAGCAGCAATCAACTTGATACAATTTTCTGAAAAACATGCAAAAAATGCTTCCTCAATTTTGGACAAATATTTCTGCATTTTTCTACTGTCCAGGTTATAAAGTGCTTCTATAACTCTGGCTCACTTCTAGTATGGTCGGGCCAATAGTTTTAAGTGCCAGGGAGCTGATAGTCTTACTGCATTCAGGCACAGTGAATGTGAAAGCTCCAACTGGTGACTGTAGCGCATTTGGCAGTTTATGGATCCCAGCTACCAAGTTAAAAGGGGATCTACTGTATGTCTTTGTAGAGTTGGGTACTTGAGGGGCTAGTGATATGTTTGCTGAATTCAATATAGTTCAGATTCCTACTATTCAGCATTTCTTAAAATACTGCCCTGGAACAGTTTCTTCTTCCTTTACTACAATTCTTCAGCCAGAAGATATAAGGAAGGAAGGCACTTTATCCTTCTTGCAGCATTTAAACTTTGGTAAACTTCAGTGCAGCTGCAGTTCTTGGTAAATAATTTGAGTTCTTTGTATTTGAATTACAGTTCATCTCTGTTGTTGTAGCATTGCTTTGCTGGTCTACCTGTGATCTATGTTTGAAAGACTACATTTGAAGAAAAAAGGAAATCTACTCTTTTCCCAGAAGAGGGTGTTTCACATAGACAATCCTGCTCTTCATTCTTTATCTCCTTTTGAAAGACATATTAGGTTTTCTGGTTTAAGTATTTTCTAGAGTTGTGAAGCACATTAAGGTGTTTATGGGGAGATGCAGTCTAACCAAAGTTATGTGTTTATAGGGCTAAAACTTTAAATATTATGGTAAATTCCAAATGCAGAGTTGACGTATGTTTATGTGGAATCCCTTCCTAGATTAGGTAGAAGGGTTTTGTTATAGTGTGTATAACACTTTTTATATTGAGTTTAAAAGCTTTGAAATGAAATTGTATGGTCCTTTAGAATTGCTTATGTGAGACTTGAAATTATATTTACATATTTTAAGATTCTTTCAAAGCAATTTAAATTGAAAGCTTTTGGCATGACTCTTTGTTTGATTTTGTTCCACAGGTGGCATATTCTTATACTTATGAGCTTAGACCCTACTTAGATCTTCTGCTGCAAATTTTGCTAATAGAGGATTCTTGGCAAACCCACAGGTTAGTCTCTACATGTCTCTGTACAGTGAGGCTGTATTTCAGCACATAGTAAAACAAGAGCTGCAAAATGTATGTTGGAATTTGAGGCGAAAGCTAAATTATCTTAATATTGTTCATGCCCTCCTCCCCATCATATCTCTGCAATTTTGTGACCCAGCCGTTCCCTTTGCCCAGCAAACAGTGACTTGCTGCATGACCCCCCCCCCCCCCCAATCCCATCTGTCCCACCATTGCCACTTTGCCCTGCTCTCTGGAACTCCATTCCCGGATTCCCTCCAACTTGCTCCTTCCCTTCCCTGTATCAAGGCATGTCGAACCCTAATTCTTTGACCATGCTTTCGTTCATCTTTTCCCCTCCCCACCTCCCTCAACTCCTGTTCACAGTCTGCAGTGTCGAGTGTATTGAGATGTCATTCTGATGTGAAAAGGGCTCCGTATAAGTGTTGTTGCCTTTCTAGAAGGGAAACACAAAATGATTGCTTCTGTGGCCCGCTGATCTTTCTCAAATCTGGCATCTGGCCTTCCACAGCCATAAGGTTGGACCACCCTGGTGTATGTAAAATGCATTTGTGTCAGTCTGGCTCATTTGGTATAACCCTCATATATATGGTAAATATATAAAGGAATTGGGAAAAACATTGCTTTGTAAAAAGGACCACAATGTATATAAATTGAATGCTCATATGTAGATGTTGTTGTCATTGTTCAAAACAATTCTAGTCTATGTCTCCACTAAAGTAATATGAATTGCTCTTTTCCTGTAGGATTCATAATGCCTTAAAGGGGATTCCTGATGACAGGGATGGGCTGTTTGACACCATTCAGCGTTCTAAAAACCACTATCAGAAGAGAGCGTATCAGTGTATTAAATGCATGGTAGCCCTCTTCAGTTCCTGTCCTGTAGCCTACCAGATCCTCCAGGTGAGCAGTGTAATAGCTTAGTACATTTCTTATGGTAATAGTCCCTGCACTTTACAGAAAACTCTGGAGCTTTGAGACATTTGGGCAACCTTATTGGATTATGAGGTGTATGTTGGAATATATCAAATGCAAGGATTATTAAAACTGCAGTATCAGTCCAGCCACATTCAGTGCAAACTCAAAAGGCTAGTATCTTTGAAGAGTTGCGCTATTTCCTAGAACCTTTGCCCTGCAATGACATTAACTCACACTACACAAGTTGGCCATGTTCCTTATTAAACCTGTGGCTGAGTTATTAGTTTTTTCAACTAATCTGTAAAGTATCTTGTTTACAGAATTTGAGAACTATTGACATTTGGACTCGCACAGTTCTTTATTTTGTGTGCTAATCTGAAGAGGAATACACATAGCAACTTCCTGTCTCTTCCTGTTTAAGTTAGTCTGTACAATACAGTGTTGACAATGAAGGAAATTACCAGCCTGATTTATTATCTACAGCACAATTGGATCAGTTTTATGCTTATATATTCTGATTGCAGTATACCTGGGACAATTCCCCAAATAGTATGTACATAGTTTAGGAATTTTTTGCCTGATCAGTTTCTCATCTCTTCTACTGTTTAATAATTAATGCAATGGTGTGATTCCATTCAACACTGCTGCCAAAAGTGGCCAAATCCCATTTGTGAGTCTGGACAGTTAACATGGAGTCCTGTAGCTTAGTGGTTAGGGCACTCACCTCACAAGCGAGAGGACCTGGGTTTGATTCCCGGCGGGGTTAAACATTGGGCAAGTTTCCTTACTCAACACACCTCTGTTTACCTAGCAGTAAGTAGGAACTTACAGTTGTTAGTTGATTGGGGTAATGATCCCTTTTTTAGAGAGAAAAAAAATTGGTCACTCAATCCATACTGTTTGTGGGACATTGCGGTGCTCAATTGGCTGCCACGTTTTGCCCACAAAATATATAGTCAATTCACCTTACAGTATATTCTGTGAAGCGCTTTGTGAGGTCTCGAAGACGTGATAAGGCGCGATATCAAATGCAAGGATTATTATTATTATTGTGACCCCCTATGTGAAATTTCAGCTGAGCCTAAGCTTGTGCTCTTCAACCAAATTTCTGTTTTCTTTATTCCTCTCCCAAAGGAACTGATCTGATGGGGTTTGTTTCTGTTACATTCTGACAGCTCTCCAGGGCTAACTTGTGTAAGCCCAAAGAGCAAATGTTATACAATATTATGTATAGCAGTGATCAAAGAATAGAGATCAGAGAGGAAGATGTTTTTTATTTCCCTGTGGAGCTTTATGGCCAATATAAATCCCACTGAGATGACTTATTTTAGCATAGATTTAAAATTATGTTTCTTCTTGATCCTATATGGCTCAGCACTACACTGTGTGACGCAATTATTCAGACGTATTGTGGAACCCACCGCACTGTTCGTATTCTTGGAACCATTTCACATAGTGCATTTACTCACTGAGCCATTGAGGGCCTACATAATAATCTTTGAATCCTTACATCCTTAATACATTTTTATTTTAAGTTTTTTATTGAAATAATTTTGGAAACTATTCTGTAGAGTAATGGAGACCTGAAAAGGAAATGGACGTGGGCAGTAGAGTGGCTTGGAGATGAGCTGGAACGTCGGCCGTATGCTGGAAATCCACAATATACGTACAACAACTGGTCACCCCCTGTACAGAGCAATGAAACATCAAATGGTTACTTCCTGGAACGGTCACACAGTGCCAGGATGACACTTGCAAAGGCCTGTGAGCTGTGCCCCGAAGAGGTAAGCAGTTACATGAGGGAAATATGTGCAATTTATAATGCAGTCTAACTTTCATCTTTAAAATTAGTGTTTTTTTTGAGTATACAATGCTAGTGCAATATTATTTAGACCAGTGTTGCATTTTTGCTTTTCGTGTGAAAACGTGTTCATAAGTGAATCACACCTTTTGGAGAGTAGTATTGTGTTATCTGCTTTTCATTTTGTTTGTTCTGATTTTGTGCTGTGTTGTGTGACCACTACTCCCAGATCAGGATGATATAAACTAAAGCTCTGTTCCAGGATTGTGCCTTAGCCAAAAACTTTACCGCTGAGTCTAAAGTTTTCCATTTCCTACACGAACAATCATCTGTCCTCTCTTGAGTGAAATTACCAAAAAAAAACATTGATTTGGATTGTTTTTGTGCAGTTGGATCTAGAAATTGGCCTTATTTGGTTCCTTTCTATCCTGGCCAACAATCCCCCTAAATAATAAAAAAAACATGGTCGTTGGCCTTCCTGGTTGTTTGTAGGACATTGCTGTATGCAAATTAACTGCCATATTTACCTAAAGTAATCATACACTTTACAGAAAACCTCTGTGAAGCACTTTGACACATTGCATCATGATAAGGATGATTATTATGTAAATTGCATTAATTTCAAAATCTTTCTCCAGTGATTTAAAGTACAGTAAATACTTGTGCACAGGCCATGCCATCTGAAGAAATTCAACAGGAACATTTCTAATGCTTTATTGCAATTCTACCACACATCGGGGCTAGTTTTGTTGTCCATTCTTTATTCATACATTAATGGAAATCCATCTTGTGCTGACGGCATAAATACGTTCTGTTATTCAGTGAATTAGGGGTGGAAAAGCTACATCCCTTTTGAACCTGGTCAGGTCATAAGCAGCACATTAGTGGTTGCAACCTGTATGTTTCCTCTTGCTTCAATGTCACTTATAAAGTCTGTTCCCCTCCTGACCGTGGCATTTTTTCTTTGGAGAAATGTTCAATTTCAGTGCTCCTTTCGGTAAAGTCAAGTAAATATTTTCAACCTTTATTTTAATGTTTTTTTCCAATATTTTGTTCATTTGCTTTTTCACAGTAAATATTTTTACTTCCTATTTTGGTGTTTTTTATTTGTACAGTTTTTTTTCTTTTTTGGTCAGCCGGGTGTCTGGCACATGCGGAAACGTATTACCAAGCTTAAGAATATCCAAACCAAACCTTTCCATGCCACCTACGCATGGAAATTCCAGAAATATTTGTTGGAATTGAATGCACATTTTCTCCCTGGATGGGGATGCATCCTGCTTACCTAATTCTGCAAAGTATTAGGGGCATTCCATTGCCAAACTCATCACCTTGGGGCCAGTTCAGCATCAAGAGACCCCACTTATCTCTTCCTTCCCACCCCAGAGGATTTTTCTTTTATTAAAATTAGAACCATTAGGTACCAATGCGTAAGCCTGTGTTTAAGTACCAAATAAAGTCCTCCCTTCAAGCTCTCTCTTGAAGTGCTGGGATGCAATTTTGTGGCTGTTGACAGTGGTCTGGTATCCCTTTTGACCATTTTTCATGTGTCAACAGGTAATTTGATCCCAGCAGTCAGGCTAACTCAGTCTATATCATTTAGTACTATGTCAAGCGATGTATTTTGCTCATTGGTCCATTGGGAGTTCATTTTTTCCGAACATGTAACAAATGAAACACTTCCAATATTTCTACAGCCACTGTTGTGTGGTTATACTTGGCAGTATGGCTTTTCCATCTGTTTTTGTTTTACGCCTCTGTGTTTGACAAATCATCTTAAAGGAAAAGTGTAAGGTTGATTTTAAGTACTCTTGGTTTCATTAAAATTAGTTTAAAAAATCTCCCACTTCATATGAAGTATTTCTAGTTGTAGCAATATTTTCCCTTTCTATGGAGGCCCACTATTTTGTCTTTCCTCTGCAGGGAACATCTCAGGTGATATCAGCCACAGAAACATTGGCAAGCAGCTTAATAGGAGTCTCGCAGGTTAGCGTCCTTTCCAACCATAAGTGTTAGGCTGGAAAAATTCAGTAACCGATGAGGACCACAGAGTACTCGGCCAGTACTAACATTTCCTGGCTTGGACACCACTCTGTCAACATCCAGGGCCAGAAAGGATGCTGGTTTGCAGAATTCCCTACAGAGCTGTTCACTGGTGTTAATTGAGCTGCTCGCTGCAGAAAGGGGGACACTAAATAGTAGAAAGGATGATATTAATTTTACTTCCTGTACTTCAATATGCATATTTATAGTGTATTTTTACATTTGTTTTTTTGGTGCAAATTATGCAAAATAGCTCTCTACAGCAGGTTATTTAAGGATTAAGCATTCATGTTTAACATGGTTCTAATTAATGATATGAGCCTTTTTAGCTAATTTAATGGTTAAAAACAAAGAAAGTGTTTTTCAAATTGCCTTTATTACCTGACATATTGCACTTATTAAAGAACTAAGAAAGAGTTGAGCATTTGTCCAAAAAAAGCATGGAACATATTATTGCCCATCTCCCCTTAAAAAAAAGGTTATATCTGCTACATAGACTTAATTACTTCCTAGACTTTGTGCAATGATTCTTAATTCTGATGAAAGAGTGTTATTTCAAGTGGTGGCCTTTTGCTTAGATGGTAGTTGACCTATAGTTTTAGCTTCTTTATAATAATGTAGATTTGCTTATAGTACAATTGTAATTGGGCTGTGGATCCTAACAGTAGCAACAATATATTCGGGTGGAATGCGTTACACAACTGACTGGGTACCCGAAATGGAGGAGAGGGGAAAGGTGGCCAACATTTACTTACAAAAAAATCGAAAATGCAGGCAGACGGTCAGTTGACTGCCTCTCTTAAAAAAAGGCTGCTGGTGTTCCATACCCTAAAGAATAGCTAATGTTTGGGTCATCAGGTCTCCGCTGACATCCTTTCCTGCTTGCTGTGGCAATACGAATGGACTGACCAACAATTGTACCCTATTAAAGCTCTAGCTGGGACTTTGTGGACTCGAGCCTATGTTTTTGAACCAGGATTTTCTATTTTAGATTGGGGGGTTTTGCACAATCTTAAGTAATTTATGCTCGTTGACTCGTAGCTTGAGCTTATAAAATAGTTCTCTTTTTCTGATGTGTAAGGTGGATGTGTTTTGGTAAACAAAATATACTTTCACATTTCAGGAGCCAGATGAGCAAGAAGCACCAGATGATCACGATTCTTCCCCTCCAGAAGATGCCCCATTATACCCCCATTCACCCAGCTCCCAGTATCAACAGGTACATTTTCTGCTCTTTAATTTCTCTATTCTGTTTTCTTTATTTTCTGCGTTGCACTATTATTGCTAAAATGTCAAAAATGGCCAATTGTAGTACATTGGGATGTAGCCATTGTTCAATTCTGTAATTCTCAAATCTTGATGTTAAATGCAGTTTTATGGGACAAAACATTGGTGGTGAGCACCAAATGCTAACATTCAGTACAATGGATGCAGGTTGAAGTTCTGCTCTACTCAAATCCAGATCTAATAACTTGGAATGAGGTAGTGCAAATCAGAGGGGGAGGAAAATCAGAGGAAAAATGTCATGCTCATATAATTGCTTCTGGGCACACAAGAACTTGCATTTTTATAGTGCCTTTCATGTGGTAGTATTTCAGAGTGCTTAACAGTGGCCGGAGCTCGATGCCAAGCCAGGGAGAGAGGGGAGAATGACCAATATGGGAAGGTCTTCAGAGCGGAAGGCAGAGGAATTGAGTCAGAGTTCCAGAGTTTTGGGCGTAGTGGCTGAAATGACGCCTGCCAAGGGTGGAGGGGATGTGTAGAAGGCCACAGCCAGCTGAGCAAAGGAGGAGGGTTGTGGGGTGTAAGCAGGTCAGAGAGGTTGTCCCCTGCTAAATGGTCACCTTCCCTTCAAATGCCGTTCGGCAATGGGAGAAAGGAAGCACTGCCACTCCTCTGCTGCCAAACAAAGGTTAATATATTTTACTGAATTCTGTGAGAGTACAGGATTTTAACTTCAACTCCTAGGTTAAAGTACTTGGTATTCTGTTTGCTTAGTTAACATTACTTCAAGTAAAACGATGGGAATGGCATTTCGGTTGCCCTCGGGCAGCCCTTAAGTCGGACAAAACAGCCATCCACTGTATTTGAAGTGAGTTCAGAGGATGAAAACATCCAGTCACGATGAATGGTTAATTAATATATTTTCACATTACCTGATTATAGAAACCTTGGGGGTTTGTTTGGTCTCTGTTTTTCATCATCATTAATTGCTTAGCAAATGTCATTGAAATTGAACACTTATTGGATTATGTCATCATATCAATCAGAATGTTAGCCACTATGTAAAGACTAGCAGTGACTGCAGCACCCTTTTACCTTTCTCTCTGTCTTCAAGGTTTTATTTTCGCTTCCAAATTGCACTTTTTGTGTCCATTATATTTCACAATATGAATGCTGGGGAAACGGTCTTTTTTTGCATTTGGGCATTCATTGAATACAGACAGGTGCAGAGTAACGTTTCCGTAGTCTTTAACTCCAACCTCAGAATTGCAGTCATGGAATTGTAGAATTGGTGTCTTCATATACTAAGAAGTTGCGGGCTTTTGAAGCCCTGAATATGTTGTCCTTAATCAGTATCAAATATATTCAAGAGGACACAATACAATACAATTTTACATTTTTTGGTGCCTTTCACTTTGGAAGGATGTCCCAAGGTGCTGTACATTCCAAAGTTTGCACCCGGAGTGGGGGGGAGCGGAGATGGAAGATGGGTGAAAGCGCAGTCAATAAGGAAGGTCTTTGAGGGAGCGAAGGGACAAGTCGAAGGCATTTGGAGTTGTATGGAGTGTGACAAATAAGATTGGTGAGTTGTAGGCTCAAGTTGCCACATGGGGTCATGATGTAGTGGCAATAATAGAGACTTGGCTCAAACAAGGGCAGGAATAGGAGCTGAATATTCCTGGCTACAATGTACTACTCAGGAGGGATGGGAAAGGAAAAAAAAGGAGGGGTGGCAATATTGATTAAAGACACGGTTACGGCCCTGGAAAGGGACGAGGTGCTAGAGGGTCCAAAAACAGAATCTATTTGGTTAAGGAGCAGAAAATGAACTGTTACTATGTTACGTGTATACTGTAGACCACCAAATAGTGGGAAGGAGATTTCAGAAAGATGCAAAACCAATAAGAGTAGTCATCATCAACAATAACAAAATTACGTTTATAGAGCGCCTTTCACGTCTGGAGGACTTGCCAAGGTGCTGGACAGTCGAGGGTCAGGACCCGAGCATGGGGGAGGGGTGCGGTAAGGGTGAGGAAAAGCAGAGAGGTGGGAGGGCGACTGAAGGCATGATCGAAAAGGAGGGTCTTGAGACCGGCCTTGAAGGAGTCAAGGGAAGAAGTGAGGTGAAGGGACTGTGTGATGGAGTTCCAGAGTGTGGGGGCAGAGAGGCTGAAAACCCGGCCACCGATGGTTGGGCGGGAGACATGGAGCAGGCCGGAACCCACTGAATGGAGGGAGGGGGCAGGTTGGTAGGGAGTCAGCAGGTCAGAGAGGTAGGAGGGGGCAAGGCCGTGGATGGTCTTGAAAGTGAGGACGTGGATCTTGAATTCAGTTCTCTGAGGGATGGGGAGCCAGTGGAGTCGGGCGAGGATGGGAGTAATGGGGTCGAGGAGTCTGGTGCGCGAGAGTACACGAACTGCAGAGTTTTGGATGATCTGCAACTTGTGAAGGGAAGAGTTGGGAAGGCCGATGAGGAGGGAGTTTCCATAATCGAGCCTTGATGTGACGAATGCGTGGGTGAGGGTTTCGGCAGCCTGAGGGGTGAGGCAGTGGCGGAGTCTGGCAATGTTGCAGAGGTGGTAGTAGGCAGTGCCCATCATGGCGCACATGTGGGGGAGAAAGGACAGTTCAGGGTCAAACAAGACACTTGGGTTCCTGACTGGTTTAGTGAGGTTGATTATGCAGCCATGGAGGCTGATGCTGCCAGTGCTCAAGATGCGGAGGCGCTGGCACGAGCCAATCAGGAGGGCTTCAGTCTTGCTGACGTTCAGTTGGAGAAAGTTCTCCCTCGTCCAGGACTTGATGTCGGACAGGCAGTCGGTCAGGATGCCAGTATTTCTGGAGTTGAGGGTGGAGGCAGAGAGGTAGAGTTGGGTGTCATCCGCATACATGTGGAAATTTACCCTTCCCCCCCGCCTTCCACCCTCCCCCACCCGACACTCAGCTCAGGTCCATAACTCTGACCAGCACCTTGGGATGTCCTCCCAACGTAAAAGGTACTATACAAATGTAATTTTATTGTTGTTGTTAAACCTGCAAGCCAAAGCCCTGACAACTAGGGTAGGCCTAGCTGGACAGCAATATCAATGGTAAGCTATGTAGTTTTAGCTGTTTAGATTCCAGGAGTACCCCAACTCACACTCCAGGGTCCCCAAGCCTCAGAGTGCTTAACAGAGACGGAACTTGATGCCCAGCGGGACTGGGGAGGGCAGGAGGTGAAATAGGTAGAGGTTCTCAAACTCATTAGTTAATTTCTTCACACCTCACTATCTCTCTAATCAATTCCCCCGTTCCTTTGGCTCAGCCACTGAAAGACCTGCTCTGCATTCTCTGACCCCTCTATGCATTCAGCCACTTTGCCCCTAACCTCTGGAAGTCCCTGCCACAAACTCCTCCTCACCCCCTCTTTATCTTGAAATCCTACCTTAAGATCTCTTCAACTATGCCTATGGTCACCCACCCCTTACCATTCTCTCTTACTCGGCACCCAACCCTGCCACCGTGGAGCACTCCGAGATGCTATTATTCGCGAAGGGTGCTATATGAATGCAGGTTGTTGATGTTCCAACATCAAGCTGAGGCCTGATACCACCCAGTAGATTTGTCTTTCATTCTGGGTTTCACTTGGTGTGCTGTTGGAAATGGTTGTAACCAGTTAGTGCTTTGAGGTAACCAATCAGATGTTGGTGAAAACACACCAATTTTGCATTTGAATGATTGGATAATCCAGAAATCACTGCCTGTGGATTACACTTTTTTGCAGAAATTCCAAAGAATGGAACCTACAGGAAATCTATGAGCCCTTGCATTTGTTATTGTGCTTATATAGAAATTTCTCACTTCACAGAATCTACAAATGTTGCAATTAGTGAATAGAAGGATCTGTCTCATAGCTCAATGTTGTGAATTCACTTGTGGTATCATTAATAATGATAATCCTTGCATTTGAAATAAAGCCTTTGTTAGGGAGACTCAAAGTGCTTTATAATATTTACTGTCAAGTGTAGCGACTGTTTTGTGGACGATAACTTTATTTTATCAAAATAAATTTTTAACAGTTAGAGGATTTGTTTAGCTGCTTATAACATATGGCAGTGCACTTGGGCATTCACTATTTGGGTATTGTTCTATTCTTTCTTATGGACCAATAACAGCACTTAGTACATTGGCAATAATATGCAAACAGAATTTGATCTCGCTTAGGTATAATATTAAGCCTGATATAAAATGTATGTATTAGATTTGTGCATTCTCGTCATAAAACCTAGCTGCAGCATATATTATCATATTCTGGAGAGACAGAATGATATTATATAAACTATTAAAGAGCCCTACCTATCACTAAACCAAACTATAAAGATATGTGGGGTACCAAAATCTTAAATCCCACATGCACACAGCAATGCCCCACAAACAACCATGGAGTTCATGACCAATTTTATTTGAGAGGCATGTATTGCACACTCCCTTCTCTAATCTCTGATGTGGTAGAGTTCTACGACAACTTTTTGAACTCAAAGTATTGCAAACTTTTGGAATCTAATAATAAATAACGCTTGCATTTGATAAAGCATCTTATCACGTTGTCGAGAAGTCTGTGTATTTTGTGGGCAAAACCCAGCAACCAGTTTGCACGCAGCAATGCCCCACAAACAGCCATGGAATTAGTGACCAGTTTGGTTTGGGGAGTATTTATTCGCTGGGGCACACTCCCTCCTCTAATCTCTGATATGGGAGAGTCAAATGCAACAAAGCGAAACAAAAATGTGGCCGAAAACAGCATAAACGTGAAGAAATACAATAAATAATAATACTGTCCTTGGAAATAATATGTATACTTGAATTTTATATATCCTGTATAACATTGAAACATATCAAAATACTTAGCAGGAAATTGCTGTCAAGTGGATGTAGACCAACATAACAGCCAAGTTACACACATCAGGGTCCCGTAAACAACCATAAAGTCCTTTTGGGGAACAAACTCCATGAACTATGGCAGAGGGAGATGAACTTCACAGGACAAGTACAGAGAAGTTGAGACATATCAGGCAGAGTTCATAGGTGCTGCCTTCAGTTCTTCAGTTGAACGTCAACAAGACCGAGGCCCTCCTGATTGACTCCTGTCAGTGCCTGCACACCTCAGACCCTGAGAGCATCACCATCAAAGGATGCACACTCTACTGAGTCAGTCTGGAACCTTGGCGTCTTGTTTGACCCTCAACTATTCTTTCTACCCCACAACCATGCCATGACCCACTCTGCCTTCCCCACCTCCGCAACATTGCCCGGCTCCGCCACTGTCTCACACAGCAAGTCACTGAAACCCTCATACATGCATTCATAACATCCAGGCTTGACTGCAAACTCCCTGCTTGTCGGCCTCCCCAACTTCTCCCTCCATAGGCTGCAGATCAGCCAGAACTCTGCAGCCCATGTCCTCTCCCGAACCAGGCTCCGTGACTCTATGTCTCCATGTCGCCACTGGCTTCCCATCACACACAGGATACAGTTCAAGATCCTGGTCCTCACCTTCAAAGCCCTCCATGGCCTTGCTCCCCCATATCTCTGCGACTACCTAACCCCCCACCAACCTGCTCGCTCCCCCCGCTCAGCAGGCTCCGGCCTGCATCACATCCCCCACCTCGCCTGCCCCAACATTGGTGGGCAGGCCTTCAGCCACTCTGCCCCACCCTCTGAAACTCCATCCCGCAGTCCCTCCACTTTGCCCCCTTCCTTGCCTCTTTCAAGAGCCATCCCAAGACCCTCCTCTTCGACCGTGCTATCAATCACCCACTGCCCAACACCCTCCCCAATACCGACCCCCAGCTTGAGTCCAAAACACTGACTATCCAGCACCTTGGGACGTCCTCCTGATGTGAAAGGCACCATACAAATATAATTTTTTTGTTATTGTTTTTATCTCCCCTCCATAGTCCTCGAGTGTGAAGCTGGGAGACCGTATTAACCTGTACTACATTAGAAAGAAAACAAAGGTGTGCAATGTATGCAGTGTAGGTTCAACCCATAAGCACTGGATGAGTACATTATTTGTTATCAATCCAGCTGATATGATACAATCCTCATTTGCTGCACGTCACCATTCATGATCTCAGGTTCAAGTGAATGTCGGGGGAATGTCAGAGCACCATCTTGTGGCACTGGTGAGTTTCCATTTTAATCTGAAAATAACTCCATTGGAGAGTACTTTTATTGAGCATTCCTTCGACACTTTGAAATGTTTGAAGTATATAAATATAGAATACCGCATAGTAATATTGAAGTATAAATTTATAATGTTACAATTATTCACATTAAACTGATTAATGGTTACATATATACAGTCCATATATTGAACTCTGACACTATTGATTTTTATTGCAATAATACTGTATTTGTAGGCAAATATGGCAGTCAATTTGTAAACAGTAATTACAAGCAACCATGATTTTTTTTATCTGGAGGGTTGTTGGACAGTTGGATTGTTGATTGCCAGAACAACCTTCTCTTTCAGATGGTGTTACTGTGTCTTAGATACCCACTTGAATGGGGAACTCAGTTTAACATCTCATCCGAAGGACAGCACCTCCAACAATGCAGTGCTTCCCAGCACTGTATTAGAATGGCAACTTAGGTTATGAGCTCAAATGAATGCGACACTTAAACAATGCATTATACATTTGTGATTCTTTAACACTTTTTGTGCTAAATAACAAGTGTTAATTCTGGAAAATGGAGCACTTTAGATATCTTATGACACTCCAAGTCTATATAATACAACCAGCTCCGAGGTACATATCACACTTTGAGATGTCTGGAAGACATGAATAGGCGCTATATCAAATGCAAGGAATATTATTATTATAGGT